TTAATATTCTAATTCAGTGGTCTCCAAACTGTAGCCCGGGGGCCAGAGATGCGGCCCTTTGCTTCCTTTTATCTGGCCTTTGGAGCACTAATTATATCCACTGACACCAACAATGGGGTATAATTCCCCCCCAACTGACACCAATGAAGAGGTGCAATTCCTCCCAATGACACCAATGAATGGGCAGAATTCCTCCCAATGACACCAATGATGGGGCACAGTTCCGCCCAATGGCACCAACAATTGGACCCAAAAACACCAATGATGGAGCACAATTCCTCCCAATGACCCTAACGATGGGGCACAGTTCTGCCCAATGGCACTAACAAATTGGCCCCAAAACACCAATGATGGGGCACAATTCCTCCCAATGACACCAATGATGGGGCACAGTTCCGCCCAATGGCACCAACAAATGGGCCCAAAAACATCAATGATGGGGCACAATTCCTCCCAATGACACCAATGATGGGACACGATTCCCCAATGACACAACAATGGGGCGAAGTGACTGGGGGGTAATACACTACAGTAACAGAACGTACCACAATAAGCCTAATGGCACCAACAATTGGGCCCAAAAACACCAATGATGGGGCACAATTCCTCCCAATGACCCCAACGATGGGGCACAGTTCCACCCAATGGCACTAACAAATGGGCCCCAAAACACCAATGATGGGGCACAATTCCTCCCAATGATACCAATGATGGGGCACAGTTCCGCCCAATGGCACCAACAAATGGGCCCAAAAACACCAATGATGGGGCACAATTCCTCCCAATGACACCAATGATGGGGCACGATTCCCCAATGACACAACGATGGGGCCAAGTGACTGGGGGGTAATACACTACAGTAACAGAATGTACCACAATAAGCCATTTTGTGTTAACTTTTTTTAAAGCGTATCTATGGCCAAAATGTAAAAATTATATATTAATTTACACATTGTATTTTAATTATTTTCTAGCCTCCTCCTAGTCATCTGAACAGTCTTGAAGTTTATAAACTTACTTTGAGAAGACTCCCACACATTTACTTCCTTGAATTCTGTGACATGTAATTATTATGCCCTTGTGAATAGGCACTGCTGTGTCACATCCTTCACGGAGCCTGCCTTCGGAACTACAGAGGTGCTGAGAGGAGGAGTTTCAGGGGGCGGAGTCAGCAGGCAGAAGGTACCATAGGATATGTAGTCCTTACCAGGGCTTTTTTTCTCAGAGAACAGGTGCAGGTACTCCCCCCTTCAGTGTCACCCTTTGTCTCCGCCCACTACCAAACTCTGAGCACCATCCCTTGGTTCCACCCCCTACCCACCTCCCAGTACTGCCCCTTGTAGAGAATACAGAACAAAGTATCATTTTTTGGTGCTAAGCAATTTGTATGGAATTTGTAAATGAAAACAATAAAAGCCGTAAAATAGACCCTGCACCCAGCAAAAATAGATGCCACCCCCAAGAAACTAAATATCCCCCTACAACAATAGACCCCCTCCAGGAACAATGGACCCCTGCAGCAAAAAGAAACACCCCAGCAACAATAGAACCCCAGCAGCAACAGCAGAACTCCCAGCAGTCAGCATCAATAGACACTCCAGCAGCCAGCAACAATCCCTCAGCAATAGATCCCTATCAGCAACAATTGACCCCCAGCAACATAAGCCCCCCTCCAGCAACAATAGACCCCCTACAGCAATAATAAATCCCCCTGCAACAATAGACGCCCTCCAGGAACAATGGACCCCTGCAACAAAAAAACACCCAAGCAACAATAGAACCCTGGCAGCAACAACAGCTCTTGCAGCAGCCAGCATCAATAGACCTTCCAGCAGCCAACAACATTCCCTCAGCAATAGATCCCTAGCAGCAACAATTGACCCCCAACAACATAAGACCCCCTAGCAACAAAGGACCCCCCCACCAGCATAATAGACCCCCATGCAAACATAGATCCCCTCCAACGACAATAGATCCCCCAGCATCCAGAATCGATAGAGCCTTCACAACACACCAGCACCCCTTTCCATTACATACATTTAGTGCTGGAGGTGGTGGAACTGCATTCCCCTACATTCTCATTGAAAAAAAGTCCTGCTCCTTACAAAATGAAAGTAAACAGCAATATAGAAGCTGTGTATGCGACAGAGGATGGAGCGATGTGGAGGACTGGAGAGGTGAGTGATTGGGGGGCTGAGCTTATACACAAACTATGAAAAAAAAAAGTGATGTGTTACCTCCTCATATAGTAAAACATAAGCTCTAAAAAACATGCGGTGACAGTCCAAAGAAAATTGTGAGATAATAACAGTCCAGTCCAACATATGTTGTGCTATCATCTAGAAATATTCAACGCCGTGCTTGAATTGTGGCCCCATTCCCTGCTCACCTTGAGTGTTGACCTATAAATTAGAATAGGCCAAACACCAGGCTCTGCCCGACGCGTTTGCGTCACAGATCATGTGACTCACACAAACTTTGTCTTTTTGCCCTTTTTCGGTAAGGTGACAGTGCCTCTTTAATTCGACTCCAGCTCATACTTCCCCCTTCACTTTTGCTCCATCACCATCATTTACAAAGCTGGGAGCTAAAGGAAATAAGTTCTCCCAGGTATGGAGGATCATGTGATTCCATGTGACACAGGGGAGGCCATAACGGCTGATTACTGTATATGTCATTATAATTGTTTCATAATCTCATCTGTAACCTGGAGGCACCTTTGCTAATCTCTACAATGTCAGTCCTTGACATACTATGCCAATAGTAGTTAACAGGGGTGGACTGACAACTCATGGGGCCCCCAGGCAATAGGGGATCATGGGGCCCCTGTGTCCTTGCCCAAACTCAAAAAAGCCTATGAAAAATGTACCAGGGGCATCTCATGGGGCCCCCTACTGACCCGGCCCCCTCGGGCAGTGCCCGAGTTTCCAAATGGTCAGTCCACCCCTGGTAGTTAACCACTTCCAGAGGATTCCCCCCCCCCCCTTCCTGACCAGGCCATTTTTTGCTATATGGTGCTGCGTTACTTTAACTGACAATTGCACGGTCATGCAACGCTGTACATAAATTAAATTTATGTCCTTTTTTTCCCCACGAATTGAGCTTTCTTTCAGTGGCATTTGATCATCTCTGCGTTTTTTTGCACTATAAACAAAAAAAAGACTGACAACTTTGAAAAAAATATATATATTTTTGACTTTTTGCTATAAAACATGTCAAATAAAAAAATTAAAAAATCAAATTTTTTCATAAATTTAGGCCAAAATGTATTCTGCAACAATCCCAATATGTGTAAATTAGTTGGTTTACGTGAAAGTTATAGCGTTTACAAACAGTGGTATATATATATACTGGAATTTTTATTTTTATTTTACTAGTAATGGTGGCGATCAGTGATTTATAGAGGGACTGCGGCGGGCATTCTGACACTGGGGGGGGGGGGGAACTGACTAACTGCCACTGACATCCCCAGTGACACCAATACAGTGATCAGTGATAATAAAAAGCATGGACACTGTACTAATGACACTGGGCAGGAAGGGGTGAACATCTGGGGCAATCAAAGGGTTAACTGTGTACTATGTGTGTTTTACTAGGGAGACATGCTGTGCAGAGAAATACACAGCAGCATGTCCTTGCTGGCAGTAGAGACCTGTGTTGTTTACACACAAATCTCTCCTCTGTCAGTGTTACTCGGCGATCGTGTGCTGTGTGTGTTTTACTACGGAGACATGCACACACATAGTGTTTTGAATTTAGACCAAAAAGTTCCATTTTGGTTTTCTCTGACCAGAGCACCTTCTTCCATGTTTGCTGTGTCCCCCACATGGCTTCTCACAAACTGCAATTGGGGACTTCTTATGGCTTTCTTGCAACAATGGCTTTCTTCTTGCCACTCTTCCATAAAGGACAGATTTGTGGAGTGCACGACTAATAGTTGTCCTGTGGACAGATTCTCCCACCTGAGCTGTGGATCTCTGCAGCTCCTCCAGAGTTCCCATGGACCTCTGGCTGCTTCTCTGATGAATGCTATCCTTGCCCTGCCTGTCAGTTTAGGTGGACGGCCATGTCCTGGTAGGTTTGCAGTTGTGCCATACTCTTTCTATTTTCGGAAGATGGATTGAGCAGTGCTCTGTGAGATGTTCAAAGCTTGGGAGATTTTTTTTATAGTCTGGCCCTGCTTTAAACTTATCCACAACTTTATCCCTGACCTGTGTGGTGTGTTCCTTGGCCTTCATGATGCTGTTTGTTCACTAATGTTCTCTAACAAACCTCTGAGGGCTTCACAGAACAGCTGTATTTATACTGAGATTAAATTACACACAGGTGGACTCTATTTACTAATTAGGTGACTTCTGAAGGCACTTGGCTCCACTAGATTTTAGTTAGGGGTATCAGAGTAAAGGGGGCTGGATACAAATGCACACCACACTTTTCAGATATTTGTAAAAAATTTTAGAAACCAATTATCATTTTCCTTCCACTTCACAATTATGTGCCACTTTGTGTCGGTCTATCACATAAAAGCCCAATAAAATACATTTACGTGTCAAGGGGTATGACCAGGGGCGGACTGACAACTCATGGGGCCCCCGGGCAATAGGGGATTATGGGGCCCCTGTGTCCTCGCCCACACCCAAAAAAGCCTATGAAAAAGCCAATGAAAGGTACTAGGGGCATCTCATGGGGCCCCCTTCTGACCCTGGGCCCTCAGGCAGTGCGGAGTGCTTGAATGGTCAGTCCGCCCCTGGGTATGAATACTTTTTCAAGGCAGTGTGAAAGGGAAGGGCTGACATATAGAGATGTATAAAGGTGAGGGTTGAGGGGAGCCTCTCGCTAGTTCCACTCCGTACATTAGGAGACGCTGTGTCAGCTCGGCTCCTCACATTGACAGTTGGCTGTAGGGAAATGTCTATGGTTAATGCGGGGAGGCCGGAAGTACGTCAGGAGCCGAATAGTCGAAGTCCCGTTTCCGGTCCTGAGTCACGGTGAGGCACAGAATGGCTCCGCCGGGCGATTACAAGATGGCGGGGGAAGCGGTGGAGCAGGTACGGGTAATATGCGGCTGTTTTCCTGATGAGAGCTGTGTGGTGTGGATGTGCCTCCCGGTCTGTAGTGGGCCTACCTCCCTGTGCTCGGTGTGCTGCAGACACAGGGGCTTCCTGGGGACACATGGCTGCTGTGGAACTACAGATCCCAGCAGTCATGCCGGTCCTCGGAGCACAGCTGAAGGACAGACAGTCCCCATTACATGTATTCGCTCTTTGTTCCCCCTCAGATCTCCTGCATGGTCTTTGCAGCCCCTTCCTGTGTATGTGTCCTCCAGGGATGGCTGCATGGAGGGAGACAACTATGAGCGATGGCTGTGTAAGGTGCTGGAATGGCCGCTTGTAGCCTGCATCAGAGGATGGGGTGACAACGTAGAGGAGCAGTCAGGAGAGCGTTGTCACCCCATAACAGGAAATGGCTGAGTAAGGATTCTTCATGGCAGGATCTCCAGATATTGAATGGAATCTGTGGACTTCATAATAGTGAGCATTACTGTTGGAATGCTATTTTAGCTCTGATTCACACCCATGTGATTTGTGATGTTTACACAGATCCGCAGGACAGGCCCCATGGTATGTGTTCCTATGGAGGGGGTTCACAGTTGCAGGACAGGCCCCATGGTATGTGCAGGAGGGGGTTCACAGGCCCCAGGCCCCATGGTATGTGTTCCTATGGAGGGGGTTCACACAGATCTGCAGGACAGGCCCATGGTATGTGTTCCTATGGAGGGGGTTCACACAGATCTGCAGGACAGGCCCCATGGTATGTGTTCCTATGGAGGGGGTTCACACAGATCCTGCAGGACAGGCCCCATGGTATGTGTTCCTATGGGGGGGTTCACACAGATCTGCTGGACAGGCCCCATGGTATGTGTTCCTATGGGGGGGGTTCACAGATCTGCAGGACAGGCCCCATGGTATGTGTTCCTATGGAGGGGGTTCACACAGATCTGCAGGACAGGCCACATGGTATGTGTTCCTATGGGGGGTTCACACAGATCTGCAGGACAGGCCCCATGGTATGTGTTCCTATGGAGGGGGTTCACACAGATCTGCAGGACAGGCCCCATGGTATGTGCGTTCCTATGGAGGGGGTTCACACAGATCTGCAGGACAGGCCACATGGTATGTGTTCCTATGGAGGGGGTTCACACAGATCTGCAGGACAGGCCCCATGGTATGTGTTCCTATGGAGGGGGTTCACACAGATCTGCAGGACAGGCCCCATGGTATGCGTTCCTATGGAGGGGGTTCGCACAGATCCGCAGGACAGGCCCCATGGTATATGTTCCTATGGGGGGGGTTCACAGATCTGCAGGACAGGCCCCATGGTATGTGTTCCTATGGGGGGGGTTCACACAGATCTGCTGGACAGGCCTCATAGTATGTGTTCCTATGGAGGGGGTTCACACAGACACACGCCATCCCCATGGTATAGTGTGTTTTTAAAATCTGCTGGTAATTTGCAAGTTCGTAGCGATCGGGTTTCACACAAACTCACATACTATAGATCAGGGGTCACGCCAAATGTGTTTGAAAAAAGGGTCATTTGCAAGTTTACTGCCCGTTCAAACTTCTATAGGGGGGCCAAATGGATTGTGGCCAGTTTACGTGCCCTTCAAAAATGCCCCGGTGTTAGTGGGAGTAAACAGTACTCTAGGCTTGGTGGTCAGGGGGGGAGGAACAGTGTCCCATCATTGGTGTCAGTGGGAGGAACAGTGCTTCCTATCAGTGGAAGGAAAAGTGCCCCAAGGGCTGGATAGAAGAAAGCAAAGGGCCACAGTCTGGGGACCCCTGCTATAGAGTAACGTTAAGATTAACCCTCCTGAGGATTTCCCCCCCTTCCTGACCAGGCCATTTTTTGCGCTGCGTCACTTTATCTGACAATTCCGCGGTCATGCAGCGTTGTACATAAATTTATCTTTCCCCTCACAAATAGAGCTTTCTTTCGGTGGTATGTGATCGTCTGTGCAGTTATTTGTTGCGCTATAAGCAAAGAAAGACGGACAATTTTGAGGGGAAAAAAACAATATTTTTGACTTTTTGCTATTAAACATGTCCAGTAGAAAAAAAATTAAATGTTGTCATAAATTTAGACCAAAATGTATTCTGCTCCATGTCTTTGCTAAAAAAAACCCCCCCAAAGCCCAATATTTGTAAATTAATTGGCTTAAGTAAAAGTAATGGCGTTCACTAGTAATGGCGGCGATTAGGGACTTATAGAAGGACTGCGGCGGGCATTCTGACACTGGGGGGGAACTAACCGCCACAGATATCCCCAGTGACACCAATACAGTGATCAGTGCTAATAAAAAGCATGGACACTGTACTAATGACACTGGGCAGGAATGGGTTAACTGTTTGTGTTTTACTAGGGAGACATGCTGTGCAGAGAGATACAAAGCAGCATGTCCTTGCTGGCAGTAGAGACCTGTATTGTTTACATACAGGTCTCTCCCCTGTCAGTGTTACTCGGCGATCGCTGGGTGCCAGTGGGGAATCTCTGGCCGGGACCTGGTGATCGTCATCTGTAGCCGCCTAGGGCAGCATGCACGCGCCCCCTACCCAGAAGTGCAAATCACGTTTGTGTGTGTGTGTGTGTGTGTGTGTGTGTGTGTGTGTATATATATATATATATATGATTTTGCACAGCCCTGTAGCAGTATTGATGCTATAGGGCGGTGGGGAAGCAGTTAAGTAGGATTCTGTGTGTTCACATATAAGTGCCATGTGATGCGTTTTTACCATAGCAACAGAGGGGAGGAAGGATCCAAAAAAACAGAGCACTTGTAAAATCACATGGCTCCATATATCCCAGGTGCTAGGTTGCCATGGTGACCAGAAATCATTGCCGCTAGCAACTCCCAAGTCCTTTTGCATGCAGCTCCGGGCACAGGGCGACCGATCCTTCTCTCTCTCTCTTGCTGGTCTCCATAGTTTCCCTGGAAGCAGGCAGTAGGTGGGGCTGGAGTCCTATATCTGGCCCAGTGTGAATGACATAGTCGGGGGTAGCCGAGCTCCTTTACTGAGGTGGTCAATGCCCATGCAGGGTCCAAGGATGAACAGCTTTCCCTCTGGGGGAGCTCTGTTGCCTCTTCTGCTGCCCATCATGACCGAGCCACATTGCCGCCAAGCTGGTGAAGGGGTCGGTGGGGGCTGAGGTGGGGACCTGGCGGCCTGTGTGCTGCCCTGTGTGACCTCCATCTGATGGAGCAGGAGGACTGGCAGTACTCCCTGCAGGAGTTTGATGCGGTGGAGGACAGAACAGAGGAGCTGCCTGGGCTGTATGTTCACCTGCTGTACCCTGGGGAGCGGTGGATCTGGGACAAATGTGCTCCTTCTTTATCTGCCTGGCCTCCCACATCAACTGCAATGTATGTCTCTGTGTGTTTGTGTATAATATATAAATATATGTACATACACTGCTCAGAAAAATTAAAGGAAGACTTTGAAAACACATCAGATCTCAATGGGGAAAATCTCCTGCTGGATCTCTATACTGATATGGACGGGGTAATGTGTTAGAAAAACATGAGGACACCCCATCGTTTGATGGAAATGAAAATTATCAACCTACAGAGGACTGAATTCAAAGACATCCCGAAAATCAAAGTCAGGGTTCCGTTGTCTAGCCTGTAGAGGTCTGTGTGTCCCTCCATGGATATGCCTCCCCAGACCATCACTGACCCACCACCAACGGTCATGCTGAACGATGTTACAGGCTGCAGAACGTTCTCCACGGCTTCTCCAGACCCTTTCACATCTGTCACATGTGCTCAGGGTGAACCTGCTCTCATCTGTGAAAAGCACAGGAAGCCAGTGGTGGACCTGCCAATTTTGGTGTTCAGTGGCAAATGCCAATTGAGCTCTATGGTGCCCGGGCAGTGAGGACAGGGTTCACTAGAGGACGTTGGGCCCTCAGGCCACCCTCATGAAGTCTGGTTTAAGAGACATTCACACCAGTGGCCTGCTGGAGGTCATTTTGTAGGGCTCTGGCAGTGCTCATCCTGTTCCTCCTTGCACAAAGGAGCAGATACTGGTCCTGCTGATGGGTTAGGGACCTTTTACAGCTTTCCTAGAGTAATGCAGGCCATAGATGGGGCGTTTATCGGCCAAATTTTCATCCGCACAAAAAATCGGCCGATTTTTCATTTGTCGGCCGACAGTTCGGCCAATAAAAGGCCCGTCTATGGCCTGCATAACTGCCTGTCTCCTGGAATCTCCTCCATGCTCTTGAGACTGTGCTGGGAGACACAACAAATCTTCTGGCAATGGCACGTATTGATGTGCTATCCTGGAGGAGTTGTGCTGCTGTGCAACCTCTGTAGAGTCCAGATATCACCTCATGCTACCAGTAGTGACACTGACCCTAGCCAAATGCAAAACTAGTGAACAACAGTCAGAAAAGATGAGTAGGGAAAAAAATGTCAGTGGCCTCCACATGTAAAAGCATTCCTGTTTTGGGGGTTGTTTCATTTTTGCCCATCTAGTGTACCTGTTTTTAATGTCAATAACACCAAAGCAGCTGAAACTGATTAACAATCCCCTCTGCTACTTAACTGACCAGATCAATATCCCAGGAGATTCATTGACTCGATGCTATACTCTGATTAAAAAGTGTTCCTTTAATTTCTTGAGGTGTGTGTGTGTGTGTGTGTGTGTGTGTACTCTCTCTCTCACACTGAGGACCAGACCTGGGGGTGTATATAGAGGGGGAGGACAGGACAAGTGTGTATACAGAGGGAAGGGGGGACTAGACCCAGTTTGTATATAGGGAGGGGGGAGATGTATATTATATGGGGGATGTATCAGGGCTTGACACATCCCTGGCATCCAGAAACCACATCCCGGCACCTGGGCTTCCACCAGCCCAATGGCACAGAAATTCCGAATTCAGTGTGAACCCAGGCTAAGTGCCCGTTCACATATATCTGCGGATTGGATGCAGTTTGAACCGCATCCAATCCGCATGACATGTGAAATACCATGGCTTCCTATGTTGCCTGTTTACATATGTCTGGTGCAGGTTCAGTGCAGTTTAAAAAGAGTCAAGTCTCATTTCTGAGCAGTGCAGTCAGGTTCAGGTGTGGATTATGGGCTATTGACTTCTATGGGAACTGTTTCTAAAACGCATGTGTGTGTGAATAGGATAAAATCCTGATCTGAACCTGACATGAATCGGTGAACAGCTACTGTGTCAATTAGGTGTGAAACCTGAGCTTCAATCTGCACCACACCTGTGAATCAGCACTTAAGGGGGCACACATCATTGACCACCAACATTTTAAAGGTGCACTCCACACTGACCACCACCTTAAGGGGCAGGAACTCCTGACCACTAAAATCAGCCAGCATCATAGTCCTGACTCCTGCACTGTATACACTGTGTGAAAACTAGGGCCTTTTTTTTTTTTTTTTTTTTTTCTTTTTTGTATCATAAAGTGTTCAATTACCATTAAAGAAAGCTCTGTCTGTGTCTGCTTTGGCTTTAGAGATCTATCCCATAGAATTCCTAAGAGTCGGATACAACTGAGCAAACATAAACTCGTAGTAATAATAATAATAATAATAATAACTGAATAGATATACACATACGTTAGGAACACAAATTCGTACACGTATGAGTTGTGTAGTTTAATAGCAGATTGATAAATATTAATCCTGAACCCCCCAGGTATTATAAACTGTTTTGAATCCAATGCAAATATCTAGTTGTCTTTTTTTTTTTCTGTCCCCAGTGTATAGATTAACAATCCATCAATGTGATATACCACCATGGAACATCAGGCTTTCCTTGAGTTTTATATACAAACAAATATATAGGCTGTAATAATTGTGCATAGAGTTTACTTCTACCTGACATTTATTCTGATGTTATTCTGACCTACGCTTCCTGTCTGTAACAGATGGATATGGATGAGTCGCGTGGCGGCAGTGGCTTACGCCAGTATTATTTGTCGAAAATTGAGGATCTTCAGGTAAGGCTCTTCAATGTCACACCATTGTCTTGGATAGTAAGCAGAATTCTCAAGGAGTGTTTTAAATCCCTTCCTTTTCTCTCTCTGTGTGTTGTCACCTGTCATTGTCCGTGTGCATACACTAGATAAGTTTTGTTAAAGGGAAATCTGACGCAAAGCAGAATATATGTGGGGAAAGCATTATTTTAAAGTTGTGTCTGTAGGTCTACTCGACCTTTCCTGCTGTAGAACCTTTGTTTTGGTGGGTGGCAGACTAATGGGCCCCTAAGGTGTCTTTTATAACCATTTCTCTTTCTCTAGTTGGTTGTCAATGAAAAAAGTCAAAATTTAAGACGTCTTCAAGCTCAAAGAAATGAGCTGAATGCTAAAGGTAAACCCAGTTTTTATTCCACATTATACAGCTTTTTTTTTTTTTTTTTTTTCTATTTATTAAATGGGGAACAGCTTATTAAAGCTGAGCTCCACCCAAAAGGGGAAGTTCCATAGTAAGGACTGCTCCCTCGCTTCCCATTAAGGATTGGCACCTCTGGGGGTGGCAGGTACCCAAATTTGACAGGTACCCGCTCCCACTTCCGGTCGGATCGTCTAAGGCTATGATTGTGATGATACACTGTGGCCCTGATTAACCCTTTGCTTACTGGGCCCTTAAACCCCCTTCATGACCAGAGCGCTTTTTGCAATATATGCAGTGTCGGATTTGTTTTAAATGTTGCAATGGTTTTGCGGCTCCCAGTCTTTTTTTTCCCTCTCGGAAACGGGTCCAAGTGGCTCTTTATGTCTTAAAGGTTGCAGACCCCTGGCTAGGCGATCAGAAGCTGAAGGTATCCTCCCTCCCTGTAGTCTTTTGGTACGTGACAGGTCCCAGAAGACTACAGGACCATTCATGAAGCGCAGTGCTAGTTGCGCATGTGCAGTGGGTACCCGGCTGTGAAGCCGCAAGCTGTCACAGCCGGGTGCCCACACTGAAGATGGTGAAACGGGCTCACCGAGGGACAGGTAAGTGGCTGTTTTTTAAAAGTCAGCAGCTACAGTTTTTGTAGCTGCTGACGTTTATATTTTTTTGACAGGGTGAGTGGAACTCCTCTTTAACTCTTCACGCCGGTGCCTCCCAGCCCTTTAAGAGGTTTCAGATTCCGGGAGGCTGGGCATGGTTTTTAGGGTCGTGATCACCGTGATTTGCTGTCACATGATCGGAAAAGTTCCCGATCGCAAGGAGAGATCGGGAACTTTCCGTGAGACACCGACATATGTGCTGGGAGCGTGCAGGGGCGCGCGCTCTCGGCACATGTGTTTTCAAATGGTACACAAATATGTGTGACCACTCGGCGTCAAAGCCAAGCCGCCGAGAGGCCACATATTTGTGTACTGTCGGCGTCAAGGGGTTACTCTGTAAATTTGATTCTTGATAAATTGTTGTTTTTCTTTTTTTATTAAAGTATAACGTCTACAGGAATGTGATCTTGATGTCTCACTATACAGCAATAGTACAATTAAAACCCTTTTTTGGAAAAAAAAAAAATCTTTTACTGTTAAAATGCAGTAAAAGTGACTATACCTTTTTAGCACCGTTTTTCAGTGTCTACCAGAAAGGGAGAATGCCATCAATGCGCTGCAGGCAGACTAGGAAGTGGCCTCTGTCTTTCTAGCCCAGTAAGCCCCTTATGGTGTTCTGGCTGGTCACAGGATAAGTAGTAGTGTGACCTTGCTCACCCAGGATTGTCATCTGACAACATGACGTCTACCTGGAAAGCATTGATAATTTGCTGTGGAAGAAATGCTGTTAGTGACAGCCCCTGTGACCTAGAGCAGACAAGGCAACAATGTTGGAGTATCTTAGAGGAGATCTATGCTTGAGGTGATTGGAACCGTATTGGTGCATGTTCAATAAAAACAATTGAGTACAGTTTGTAAAACATTTTTTTTTAATTTTCACTAACATTCAGAATTTCAGGACACGCTTTTTAGATATACCCCCTTCTTCAGCAGTACTTTCAGGAGATATATCAACTCTGTTAGCAGAAACAATGGAACACATTTTCTATACCAATTCATCTTTATTCAGAAATGCCTTCTCTGCTGCTGTAAAGTAACATAGTGACAGTATAATGCCTGTCCACTTACATGGTAAATGTGTGAAAATCGGTCTCATCTGCATTGCAAAACAAGGATACATTAAGAAAACGATTAGCAACAGTTTTTTTTTCAACTGTATGTAGCCAAAGCTCTTTGAGTTTGGGATAGATTAGGGAAGGATTAGAACCCCTTGTATGCTAATTTCTTGCTGTCTGTGTCCCTTTTGGGGAAATTTTTACATCCTTATCTGTCCTGGAGATACAACAGATAGTGAGAGGAAATCTCTGCAAAGTGAGGATCTTCCTCTCTCAGTATTCACAGAAAAGATAGTCCCATTGAAAAATAATCTTTTGTTCTGCAAGAGATTCTGGGGACTACTATCTTGAAAGATCTGGGCATATGCTCATTTCATATAACTGAGGTTACTGTAGAAAAATATAAAAATCTGATGATATTCCACCTAATGCAGCAAAGGAATTGATACACAAATACTGGCAGGAGCCGGAGGTACCGAAAATAAAAGATTGGATAAAACGGGTAAATTTATAGGATGCTTCAAAAAAGGCCTGGATTCTTTCCTAGATACACAGAATATAACTGGATACTAACATTTATTGGTAAAGTTGATCCAGGGAATTTCCAATTGCCTCTCGGGGGATCGGGAAGGAATTTTTTTCCCTGCAGGAGCAAATTGGGTCATGCTCTGCTGGTTTTTTTTTTTTTGCCTTCCTCTGGATCAACTGTGGGTATAGGATTATAACTTTTTTTTTTCTATGGTTGAACTGGGTGGACTTTTGTCTTTTTTCAGCCAGACTATGTAACTATATTGAAGAAGACGGATTGGAGAGATTTAAAAAAAAAAGATGGGAAAAGTGGGATGGGTTTAAAAGATCAAATAAATATGCTGAATTGGTAGGATTGATGAAAAGAAAGGTCATGTGTAAAAAGAAGAGAAGGAAAAGAAGGTGAAATGAAAGGGGAAGAAAAGGGAGGAAAAAAAGAGGAAAAAGATGGAAACGGGAGGTAGGAAGATAGGGAGGAAGAGAAGGGAGATCCTGAGATTAATAGAGGAATGGAAGGAACTGTGAAAAACAGGTAAAATTGGGTGGGTACGATTAGGATTGGGTAGGGTGACTTTGGGTGCAATGAGTAAAGGGAAAGTTTTTCTTTGTTTTGTTGAATGATGTGATCATTGAATTTTGTAATATTTGTAATATTGAGATATTGAAGTTTATTAAAAATGTAAAAAAAAAAAAAAAAAAAAATAATCTTTTGTTCTGATAGCAAGTCTAAAGATCATTTTACTTTCTTGGTGAGGGTTAGGCTACCCAACAGAGACCCAGAAGCAATAAAAACTTGACAGGGGTTCTAATACTTCCCTGTGCTGCCATTCCTATTGAAAACCCTTCTAATGCCAGTCAACTGATTTGAAAAAGGACATGGGACTTTTTAGCCAAAGCCCTGCACAGATGTAAATTTAGTTGCATTAAAAACCTTAGAAAACCTGTGCATTAAAGGACATAATGTGAATGGGGTCAACACGTCTGGTTACGTGTTTTGTTCCACCTGGTCGCCTCCTGAATACAAATGTTAATTTTACATTGCAATATCTGCATGGGTTTAATATTTGATATGGAGTTTATAGCAAACTTTTCATGGAGGGCTGCTTTTTTTTTTTTTCTTCCAATTTTGGGTGTTTTAAAAGGAAAGCTAATAAGTGTTTTATATAGCGCTGTCAATTTACACAGCGCTTTACGTGTGTGTGTGTGTGTATGTATGTATGTATATATATATGTGTGTGTGTGTGTGTGTGTGTATATGTATATGTATATATATATATATATATATATATATATATATATATATAATCTCGTACATTCACATCAGTCCCTAACCCTCAAGGGGCATACAATCTACAGTCCCTAACTTACATTCATTCATACACATACTAGGGCCAATTTAGACAGGATCCAATTAACCTACCAGCATGTCTTTGGAGTGTGGGAGGAAACTGGAATACCCAGAGGAAACCCACGCAGGCACAGGGAGAACATGCAGGAGAAAAACTCCAGGAAGGTGGTGCCGTGGTTGGGATTCGAACCAATGACCCTATTACTGCCAAGCGGAAGTGCTAACCATTTAGCCACTGTGCTGTGTTATTAAAATGTATTGGCTCCACAACTCACCATGTAGGTGGGATATGGTTCCTATTTTTCTGTATAATACTTTCTCCAGTTTTTTAATAAAAATATTGAAGTATAAAATGTATTGGCCTGTGTATTAAAGCACTACTGCCTGGGTATCCGTATAAGCAACCTAGAGGCTGCAATATTTTTAGTCCGTGAGTATAAATACTAAGCAGACAGCCCAACAACATATTAGTAATATTTATTAATACGTATAAATGAATAAACTGTAGATATCCTTTAGGCGCTGCTTTTTGATGAGCATTGTTACATCTGTATTCTTAAATGCAGTCAGTTTAACACGATTGAGGCAAAGCTGATGGATATTGGGAGCCACTAGCCTCAGGTCTTCAAAACTGAATTACAGCTGTTGCCTCTAAGGATTTTGTTAGTGACAATGGAAGTTTTTTTGCCTTAAAATGCCTGGCAGATGTAAAATCGCACAATTTGCACACCCCTGTTTTTCAGGTATGAGGTGCCAACTCAAAATCATATGTTGGACTTAAGGTTGCTAATATCGAGAAGTTGTAAACTACTTTTATGCACTCTTTTTAGTACGTCTTCTGCGTGAAGAACTGCAGTTGCTTCAGGAACAGGGCTCCTATGTGGGCGAGGTGGTCAGAGCAATGGATAAAAAGAAGGTGCTGGTCAAGGTAGGCAGTCTAATCTTCTCAGCCTAATTCTGTCCTTTGTCATGTGAACTATCCATATATCTGCCCGTATTGTTGTCTTCTTCTAGGTCCACCCAGAAGGGAAGTTTGTGGTCGATATTGATAAGAATATTGACATCAATGATGTGAGTATTTTAGAGGGATCAAAATGATGGTATGATAACATATTTACTATATTACTGACCCCAAGCTCTCCGTAGGTAACACCAAATTGCAGAGTAGCTCTGAGGAATGACAGTTACACCCTTCATAAGATTCTACCCAACAAGGTGGATCCATTGGTGTCACTGATGATGGTTGAGAAAGTTCCAGACTCCACCTATGAAATGATTGGTGGCTTGGATAAGCAAATCAAAGAAATTAAGGAAGTTATTGAGCTGCCTGTGAAACATCCAGAGCTGTTTGAGGCCCTGGGCATTGCCCAGCCTAAGGTTTGTACTTTACCCTAAAATTTTGACATTCATTTTTATTGCCAACTCTTGGTTACATTTTCTTTATACTTTCTTCCTACAGGGAGTGTTGCTTTATGGGCCACCTGGTACAGGGAAGACTCTACTGGCCCGTGCAGTTGCTCATCACACAGACTGCACATTATATTCGTGTATCAGGATCTGAACTTGTACAGAAGTTCATTGGAGAAGGTACAACGACATACCCAATCATTGGAACCGTATAATAAAAAAGTGTAATTGGGCTCCTGACATGTGACCTGGTTTGAAAGGTGCAATCTTGGAAAAATGTCATCATTCTGGAGTCAGGAGGAAAACAATGTTAGGTTTCTCCACACCAGTCATCATACAGACAATTTTTTTTATTTTTTTTTAATTCTAGTAGGGCAAAGCTAGAGCTGTTGTCAGCATCATAGTGCAGCTTGCCCCCTATTAACTGTCAGTTTTAGCCATTGTCATGTGACGGAGCCCAGAAATGCAGAGTAAACCAGAAAAGGTTCCAATACTTGTGTGGATGCTGACAAGTTGAACCACCTGCCATTTTCCTATATTTCTCAGTCACTGTAGAGGCCAGAATCCTTGACATATTCCACAGGGGTCAAGACAGAGGGTGAAGTCAGGGACAACTACTACTGGGTAGTAGCAAATGTCTGGATGAAAAAGAAATGATGTAATCCATTTTCTCAGTTGGCAGGTCATTGGAAGTAAAAGTACAAAACTTTCAAAATATACTAGAAAAAAAAAAACAAATGCGCTGTTGACGATCAGGTTAGCGTGTAGGCTTGTATACTAACCCATATTGTACATTTGCAGGAGCTCGCATGGTGCGTGAACTCTTCGTAATGGCTCGTGAACATGCTCCCTCAATTATCTTCATGGATGAGATTGATTCTATTGGATCTTCGCGGTTAGAAGGCGGGTCTGGTGGTGATAGCGAGGTCCAGCGTACAATGCTTGAGCTGCTGAATCAGCTGGATGGCTTTGAGGCAACCAAGAATATCAAGGTAGATTAGATGGACAGAGATAACAGTGGGTCTTAAAGGATAAGTTGACCTTTGGGAACATGTTAAATGTTCCACCTGCTACGCAGCTCAACACCCCCCCCCCCTCCCTTTCCTCCCTGTGACAACAGTACGGAGAGAAGGTCTCTGTACTAGCTGTCACTTTTTGAAAACCGCTCTGCCCACATGGCCACGCTATTTATTCACAGCGTTCTGTGAATGGATGAACTACAAGTTCCAACATCCTTAGCAGCTGTCCGCTTGTACTCTATGAACTACCGTGGCACTGTGGAGCACTGTATTAGTTCCTGTTAGTATATCTGCTTGCCTGTACAATCCCGTACAGGCAAGCTGATAGACTGCCAGGTTTGCAGGAGTCCTCCATGGCACCAGCAATCTGCTGATCCCTGGTGCAATGCTTTTACAGGCTCCTGCAACAAAATAAAATAAATGCACATTTTTTTTTACCTGCAAAAAAATTGGTATTTATTATATTTTGGCAAGAGGTAAACTTATTCTTTAATAAATGTCCTCAACGTGAACATGTGCTTTTCCTACTCATGTTTAATTTAATGCACCCAATCTTAGCCACACATACTCTGCTTTCTTCAAGGAGACGTACAGCCAAAGCTTGCTGTGGATCACGAGAGTGCAATTGTATCTGCACTCCTGTGATCCGTTTTCAGCCGTCAGTGAGCTATAGTCCACTGTCAGCTGATGTCACTCAGCCAGTCAAGGCTGGTGAATGATCCCGAATTTTAAAGTCAGGATCCACCCAAATGTCTGGAACGGCACGCGCTGTTCTCACTCCCTTCACAGCCCAGCGGTTCAGTGAAGACAGTGGTGACTGAGGGTCTCTGCTCGGAGTGCCAGACAGAACTGAGTGATCAGCAGTGTCTGATTGCTCAGTTCTCACCTTTAGAGCCAGTGGAGGACAAATGCATTATCGGATCAATGCGGCATGCGCCTAGATAAATATGATTAAAAAAAAAATCTTTTTTAAGGGGGTGTAAGTACAGTGCATGCAGTTACTAAATGTTTTTTGTTTTTTTTTTTTGTCCTGGGTTCTGTTTTTCTTTTGCTTGCAATGCAACATATGGGTGAAATCTGGCATTGTGGAACAATCTGAAATTGCAGGTAGAGGTACTGTAAATTGGGGACCTCTCTGTTACTAGATGGATACCAGTCAAAGCTGGAGAAAAGATGTGTTAGATTGATAAGGTAGTGATCTTCATGTATGGAAAAAGAAGCTTAAATCGGCTGCAAATGCATTTTTAAATGTGTAATAAGAATGTCATTATTTGAATCTGTTACTTTTTTCTCAGGTCATCATGGCAACAAACAGAATTGACATCTTGGACTCGGCTCTCCTGCGTCCTGGTCGTATTGACAGGAAAATTGAGTTCCCTCCTCCTAACGAGGAGGTAATAAATTAGATTAAGAGACTCATGCATGTTTTCAATTTAATCCCTTGCTGATTTTCTTCAACTTAATTTGCCATTTCAGTTATTTAGCAGTTTTTTTTTTTTTTCTTAATTTAGCTGCACTTTCTGGAAGATCATTTTCTCACATCAGACCTCGAGTATAATCTTAATAATGACTGTTCAATCCGTCTGCAAGATATTAGGAATGTTTAGGGAAGCGCTGAAGGGAACTTCGTGTCCCATGATCGGTGCCAGAACAGTATTTAAAACATGACCTCTGCTCTTTGGGAACTGATGTTCAGGTAGAACTGATTAATCAACAGCTATACCGTCTAACTTGGTTCCATGAGATTCTTATTAATACTTTCAGGCAGTGGATCTTAGTTCAATGTTTTATTGAAAGGCAACATGCATAAAATATACATTATTATTCTATAGTTAAAAATTTAAAGCGGAGTTACAGCTGGAAAAAAAAAAAAAAAAAGCAGCTACAAAAACTGTAGCTGCTGACTTTTAAAATACAGACACTTACCTGTCCCTCAGTCCAGTGGTGTCCTCGCCATGGCTGGTTTCTCCGGCCGTCTTCTCTCCCTAGCACCGGCATCTTCAGTGTGGTTTCCTGGCTGTGACAGCTTGCGGCTTCACAGCCGGGTGCCCACTGCGCATGCACAAGAAGCGCTGCGCTTTTGTGAATGGCCCCGTAGTCTTCTAGGACCTGTCACGGGTCCAGAATGCTACAGGGAGGGAGGAAAACTTCCGCTTCCCATTGCCTAGGCCAGGGGTGTCAAACTGGCAGCCCTCCAGCTGCTGCGAAACAAGTCCCATCATGCTTCTGCCTTTGGGAGTCATGCTTGCAACTGTCAATCTTGTAAAGCCTCATGGGACTTAGTTTGGCAACAGCTGGAAGGCCACCAGTTTGACACCCGTGACCTAGGCGATCGGAGTGGGAGCGGGTACCTGTCAAATTTGGGTACCCGCCCCCCAAGGTGCCAATCCTTAATGAGGAGCGGGGGACAAAACATTAAATTGGAGTTTCCTCTGTTGGGTGGAACTCCGCTTTAATCTTGCAGAACAAAGTTGAACATAGCCATTTTGTTGAGCATTGGTCTGCATTAAAATTTAACTTCTAGCTCCTAGCCTGGACTGACTGGCTCCTGAACGTAAATTGGACCTGCTCACCTTTGCTTTAAAATGGACTTTAGTGTTGCATTTTTGGAAATGTGTAGAGCTGTCTGCTTGTAATGTGCAGCAATGATGCCGCTGATGTACCCAAGGAAAATGGTCTTTCCACTCAGTTTAGCCTCATTGTTGCCGTTCTTCATACGAAGCTAAAAGCAACCACTCACATTGAATCAGTTCCAGACATAAGATCCCTTTATAGAAATGGAGTTTGTCTCTGCAGAAGACTGACTCCCTCCTATGTGTGCCTATGTCTGGCTGTGATTTCAGAGCTTGCCTCTGTAGTCAGTCTCTTTGGAGTCAACAAGATAGGAGAAGACTCTATTTTTGAAATGATAATCAGATTTATGTGCTTTACTTGGGTCTTTTTGGCAGCATTGGTGCCGCACTAACACATCAGAATTTCTGAGTTACACAATTGGTTTGCAGGAAAACATGAAATCATTTTGCCTAGTGTTCAATCCTTCAAGCTTTTAAGTGGGAAGCTTTGATTAATTAAAGCTGTGTATTGGCAAAGACTGCCTTTCAATGATCTGTCCTTCATGCAGGCTCGTTTGGACATCCTCAAAATCCATTCCCGCAAAATGAATCTGACTCGCGGCATCAACCTGCGCAAGATTGCCGAATTGATGCCTGGCGCATCCGGGGCCGAGGTGAAGGTAAGTCTGCCCTTAATAAGTAAAGAGACTTGCATTGTACGGTGTGGAAGCAAGGCCTGGTGACGTGTCTTTGGGCCAGAACCCAGGTCTTGTAGACAATAGAATAATGGGGAGCAGATGGATTTTTCTAGCACTAGTTGCTGCCCAGAGTTCCATAATGGAGCCTGAGTACTGGGAACCAGATGTGGAAATTATTGTGCAATCCTTTACCCCCCGGACCATTCTGTGTTCAACACCCATTCCCAAAACATCACACCAAAACCACATTTTGAGAATCCCTGAATCTTCAATGCTAGTGGGAATTGAAAGCTTTTCATTCCAGTCCAAGTATTGCTGGGAGTTGTACAGAGTTTACGGTGTCCTCCTGTAATTAATAACAGGCCAGATTCTTAGTGATTAAAGGGAACCTCCGGAAGAATGACAGTATCCTTATATGTAGAGATTAAAGCAGAACAGTCTGCTATATCCGCAGTCATTCTATAGAATGCTATCTAGTAAAATGCTAAAGTCACAAAATGTAATTGATGTAAGGAAGAAAAAAAATTGGAAACTGACACCAAACTAAATGATCTTTGTCTCCAAGGCCTAGCTGCTCTGACGCTACTGTTGGGGGCGGGGGAGTAGGGATAGCTTCTAGCACCAGTTGTTGGAACAGATTCTCTTGAGAGTCGGGTGTTCTCTGCATATAAAAAAAAAAAAATACTTGAGTCACTATAGTGCCTGGATGCAGGAAGCTACTTTTTTTTTTTTTTTTTTTTTTAGTTTCCTAATGCAATTCCTTTTAGTTCCAGTACCATTCAGTGTTCGATGTCTATTAACAAAACCATGGCACCAACACCACAATTTGGGAATCGCTGAGTCTCAAATGCTATTGGGACATTTTTTCATTCCAGACATCACTTAACCCCTTTGCGCCAGCGCCTCCCGACCCTTTAAGAGTTTCAGGAGGCGGGCGGGGTTTTAGGGTCATGTGACTGCCGTTATTCACTGTCACATGATCGGAAAAGGTCCCGATCGCAAGGGGAGATCAGGACCTTTCTGTGAGTCACGGACATATGTGCTGGGATTGCTCACACTCAGCACATATGTATTTTCTAATGGCACGCAAATATGCGGGCACTCGGTGTCAAGGCCCAGACGCTGAGAGGCTGCATATTTGCTTGCGCTCAGCGTCTAGGGGTTAAATACCATTGTGCAAAATAACAGGATTTGCCTGCCTGATAGCTTATTTGTGCTGAAGACTGAGCTGCACTGACTGAATCATTCACTGGTCATAGCTGGGTGGTTGCGTAGCTGGGTTGGGGGAAGTCCCTCCAGTCAGTTGTACCCAATGGTGGATATTGGCGATATTGCTGCCTTTCCGGTACGGCCTTGGCGTCATTTCCACAGTATTCTTGGAATAGTAGAAAAAAAGGAGCACCCAATATCCAAAAGAATGCACGTTTGGTAGATTAGAGGCATTATTGAGAGTAACGACAAGACCGGTATCAAGCCAACACGTTTCGTGAGAAGACTCCCATCTTCAGAGCTGTTACTGCACGCTACTAAATGGGAAAAATTCCCACGTTGGTTATATATTTTCTGGGTTTCGGAGGAAATAATGAAAGTGACTGCTGCCACTCCAGGGGTGCTAATAATTGATAATAGCTCAATCATGCTGCACTCACCTTCAGGTTATATAATAAAATGTGTGCCCTAATGATGCCCGCTGATCTGTGTAACATACTAATGTGGTTTCAGGGTGTGTGTACAGAGGCTGGGATGTATGCATTACGAGAGAGGAGAGTACACGTCACACAAGAAGACTTTGAAATGGCTGTAGCAAAGGTATGATAATTTGTAACTATAAAGGTTTATTAACAACTAACCAAACCATTTTGCCATTAGTGCCTTATCCCTGGACAATATTCTTGATACATACCACTGTTGGCAAAAGGGTTTGTTTGGCAGCTTAAAAAGTTGTAGCCATAATGTGAACCCTATGAAGTGTAACAGGTTGCTCATTGCTGGTATTGCTTTATAGTATCAACAATAGGTAAGGTCACCCTTGTGCCCTCAGCACAAATTATGACCATCCCATCTCTAATCACCAATCTGTAAAGGAGGGACTTCAGCTGTTTTGGACTGTAAATCTCTTGCCATCTAGAAGTGGTACTAAACGCATGCCCCCCCCACCCATTTTTTTTCCCCCCCCCCAATTACCTGTAGTGCTCTTCAAAGCACATATTCTCCTGCACAACAAATCCAGTGTTGTCCTGCTGCATTTCTCTGTTCTGGTGCCACACATTGGGTCCCATGCCGCCATCTTGGTCCTCTTCAGCTGCGTGCAGGCAGCCAGCTCTGGCGTGCTCTCGCAGAAGCATGTACACATCTTTCTGGCCTAGGCTGGAATGGTGGCAGGGCTAACAATTTAAAGAGGAATAAATTCTGCTTGGGGAAGGGGGAGTGTTAAAGCGGGAACTAACTGGGCAGCACAGTGGTTAAATGGTTAGCACTTCCGCCTGGCAGTACTAGGGTTGTAGGTTCGATTCCCAACCACGGCACCACCTGCCTGGAGTTTGCATGTTCTCCCTGTGCCTGCGTGGGTTTCCTCCGGGTACTCCAGTTTCCTCCCACACTCCAAAGACATGCTGGTAGGTCTAAATTGTCCCTAGTATGTATGAATGCAAGTTAGGGACCTTAGATTGTACGCCCCTTGAGGGTTAGGGAATGATGTGAATGTACAGCGCTGTGTAAATGGGCGGCGCTATATAAGTACCTGAAATTAATAATAAACTTCCTCTTGGGAAACATTTTGGTACCTATAACTAAAGCTTTCATTCTCTTTTTCAGGTGATGCAGAAAGACAGTGAAAAGAATATGTCTATAAAGAAACTATGGAAATAACAATGGCATCAGCAAATCCCTGGAAGACGTCAGCAGTCCATTTTGTGTGTCTGTGTACAACTGCTGTCTTATGATTGTGCAGCCTGGGTGAAACATCACTTGAAGACTCTTGTCACCATTCTGTAACGTTCAAGCAGCCAGGGGGGAGTTATTGTAAAGCAAACCCATGGGAAACTTTGAATCCTATTTGTAGTAGATGGCATACGCTGTGGGCACTGGGAGGGGAAGCTGACGGCCTCTGCTATCACGTTTTAGCTTGTTTAGGTTTTTCACAAGATTTCCTTTTACTTACCTTAAAAGGAATCTCGTATCAATGCTAAGTTTTTAGCATCATTGCAAAAGTCAGTCATTTTCAGTCTGTGCCCCAGTAATCATATTCAAAAGGAAACCGATCATGAGTGAAATATACAGGCAGCCATTGTTGACCTGGAAAAGGTATTCAGATAAGGACTGCTGATTTCCTGATTTGCATGTTTGTTCCAGGGCACTGACTCATGGAGACACAATATATTGTCTGAATATTCACTTCCATTACCCAGTCAAAAAAAAAAAGCAAATCCTGTTTACTTGTTTTCAACTGCACATGATTAGGTGATTGAAGAGTGTCACAATTTGTGTGAAGATTCTTGACTCTTTTAGTAAATAGGCCCAAACATCTTGAAGCCAATGGGTCAGCGTTACAATATGAAAGCTACTATTGTCAGAGGAGGTTAACAATGGCAGCCCCTTGTTAGGAGAGGTTTACTTTTAAGGTAGGTGTCCAAATGATCACTGTAGATGGTAAGGCAGTATGTAAGAGGGAATGGGTTTGGGTATTGTTTTCAGAAATCGGTAAACTAAAAATGGCATTTCTTTTTGTAACATTAATAACATTCTGTGATCTGTTTTTAATAAAGAACAGAACAAGTAAAAAAAAGACAAAAGCTTTTATTTGTTAAAACATCCAACAGTTTTTGCAGACATCCAGAAATATTTATTATACACATTTGGTCCCCACTCCCACAGCTATGAAAAACTACACAATGTATTAAAGACGTCGATACAAATGTTCTGTGATTATTTCTTGTACCCACTGCTTCTAGACAGTTGCCTGCAGTCATTTCATATCCTATATCTACGTACTGTTAGTTGTTCCATGTGGCTGCACCAGATGCCTTTCCTAGCCTACAATTTTATTGCAATTTTTTTTTCTTTTGCTCAGAGCTGACAAAATTGTAGTTATGTGGAACAGGCCAACAAGAGGCTGGTAGGAAAACACATGAGAATGCCTACTACCATTCAACACATTTCCTGAGGAGCCGTGCTTTCGATGCTTGTTACCAAGGCACGTTTTACAGGCTTTGTGATAAGATCTCACCTACATATATTAATTGTACTGGAAATTGGTCCTTGTCCACAGTGATAGGGTCATATTCCACAGAGCTTCATACTGCCTCCTTTATTTATTTAAAGGATTGCCTACTTTAAAGGCAGCTATCTGCCTACACAAGATGGCTGATTTCTTTTGTTGTGACCCTGTGAGGTTGCAAGTATGAAAACTGCCATTTTTATTAGCGGTGTCTTTTTTTTTTTTTTATCATGCAAACTCTGGAAAGACACACAAGGACATGCAAAGAATGGCATACTCTCTCTAGGTAATCCATACTGTCTGAGAATGGTTGGTTGACTAATGTGATCGCTCTGTATCATGCCCTGGCCTCCTTGCGGAGGGTAGTCTTGGGTACTGTACAGATCACTGGGCATTTAGAGAGCACAGAAGCAGGAATCCCTGTGGCCTGTCTGAAAGTGGTGATGAATAAGGCATGCTTGGGACCAGGAAAATGTGAGAGCAGGCCAATGGGGGATAATCATCCTTAACCTCGTGGTGTCGGCCGCACGCAAATGTGCGGCCTTCCTGGCGTCTGGGTCTTGATGCTGAGCCGTTGCACATTTGTGTGCAATTAAGAAAAACGCGCTGAGAGCGCACGCCCTGCGCGCTCCCAGCACTCATGTCCGGTACTCACGGAAAGGTCCCGATCTCCTCTTTCGATCGGGACCTTTCCCGAGCATGTGACTTCCGTGACAGTGAACCACGGCGGTCACATGACCCTAAAACCCCACCCCAGCTTCTGAAACCCTTAAAGAGCTAGAAGGTGCCTGCACAAAGGGGTTAAGGAGTACACCTTAAAAAAAAATAAAGCAGTATTACACTCAAAACAAAGAGTGTAATATATTGTGGCTTACCAATCTGTAAATGTTGTAGCTGCATTAGTTTTTTTTGTTTTTAGACTTTTTCCCCTGTTTTCACCCAGTGACCTGGCCAGTAATACACCTCCTGTATTAGAGTGCCTCCATTCTGGACGAAGGAGATCAGAGACACCTTTGGACAGCAGTATTGTCAGTATGGGGGAAGAGACGTGTTGGATGGATGAGCACATTTAATAAACTAACACAGTGCCCTGGCACAATACTTAAATTGTATACAAGCCAGTGGGTTGATCAAGCCTGCATTGTAGTTACACAAAGCCACAGGTTGTGCACCATTAAAACCTTCTAGCTGCTGGCGTCCTAATAACCAATGACGTCATTGATAGAGATATTTTATTATCTCTAATATCTCTCGCTATTGATTATACAGCATCATCCATGTTTGCCCCTTTCCATTAGCACTGGGGTCACATTAGCTGACAGTGAAGAGAAGCAATGGGAATACTAGTCAGGACCAGTGTGTAAAAGTGTATTTGCTTTGGAAGAATAAATCACCTCTAATGTTGGGGGTCCTACATGTGTGGATGTTGCTGCGTTCTATAGAACTATTAGAATAATTTTTCGCATTTTAGAATGGGGTGCCTCAACTGAAACACAGTTCTGCACTAACAAACTGAAGCCAAACTCTAGCTAACACTTTATATGCAGTTACAGCAACAGTTTTGTTCCTTTTAAGATTAGTTTTACATAAAAGCTGTCCATTATAACACCCCCTATCAGCAGGTTGTCTTATCCTCCTAACTGCTACCTCCACAGGACATCTTGTGCTGTTGAAAAACAGACTTACTGGTCAGATCACCAGGTGAAAATAAAAGGAAAAAAAAAAAAGCCTTAAAAAAGAACTAAAGCAGCCATCGCAGCTACAAACTGGCAAGCTGCAATATAATAAATATTTGCTTTTGGGTTTAATACTGCTTTAAAGTGACACTAAACTGGTCAAAAAAAAAATATATATATATTTTCATGCATGTATGCTCAGCTCAAAAAATACCTTCTGTTGCACACAGCCTTCTGAGATCTGATTTTAGAGGGAGACTGTCCATGGTCTCCACTGTCTGGGAATGCAGCCAGCCCCATTTGCTTGCTTCTGAGATGGGACTAGTGTTCATAGACCAGCACACTCCTTGTCCCAAACAAAGGGAAGTTAGAAAAGAAGAGGTTTGGGAGCTCATAGAGGATGTTACAAGGAGGCAGAAAAACACCAAAGAAACAATTTTTCATGAAAACTAGATTACAGTCCCATTAACTAGTAGACATGTATGAACTATTTTGGGAGAATCTGGCCCTATGCACACAGGATGTCTAAGTCCCTCTGAACGACAGAACACCTGCCAGAAAAAAGTTGCTTAAAAAAAACACGGTAAAAGCTGCGTTTGGCGCACACATTCAGGCGCATCGAGCGCTGGAGAGTTAATGTATTCTATTGGCCAGAATATTAATTTACCCTGGCTCCTGGAATGCATAAACGCTAGATGCGACCATGTTTTTTATGGTCTTCAGCTCCTCTCCTGGTGGGCTTTTTCCTGCCTGTAGCTGCCTACAGGGGTTTATTTACTAAAGGTGGAGAGTGCAAAATCAGGCTCACCAATCAGCTTTCATTGCCAAAGCTTAACTGAACAAGCAGAAGTTAGGTCCTGTAACAGCATTTTTTTTTTTTGAAGCGCAGTCTGTATGAGGCCTAATTATATTGTTTAGTGTCATTTTGTCATACAATATGACAACATGGGCTGCTGATTGATCCTGGCTTCACTATATAGGACCATGGCACATGAGCAAACCCATTGCTGAGAGCAGACAATTTACCTGTTATAAAGTCTCCCCATCACCAGCTGGACTTGCAAGATGGAAGCCTCTCCTCTGTGATTTTTCTGCAAGCAACACATCGCTTGTGTGATATCGGCATTAGTCATCGACTTGGAAAAAGGGTATGCAGGGGCAGCTTTATCCATGCTCCTGGCTGCATGATTGCTTTAAGTCTGACTTGCTAGGTAGTGCAGCCAGGAATAAAACATTGCAGCTCTGAAACCAATACCTTTAGAAATGAATGGCAATGGCAGCTCTCATACTTTTATCCTCATAGGTTGCATTTTGGAGAAGTAACTAATGGTTTAACTCACAGGTGTCAATCTGCAGCCCTCCAGCTGCTGAGAAACTACAGTCCCATCATGCCCCTGCCTTTAGAAGTTCTGCGTTCAAGTGTCAGCCCTGCAATGCCTCATGGGATCTGTAGTTCCGTAACAGCAGGAAGACCCCAGTTTGACACTTCTGACTGATAGTACATAGGTGTCCTGACCGCTGTTCAGTTCTCTGGCATTCTCAGAGGAGACAGTTTTCTGAATGCCTTTTTATGAAGCGATGTAGATTGCTTCTCCGAATGAGGAGAGAAGCGATCTACAAACGCTTTGACCGCTGGAAAACGGCTGCTGTTACTATAATCTCGTGAGATTACAGTAAGATCAGTCAAACACAGTTTACTAAACAGCTGTAACTTACCGCTGCTACGTTTGCGGTTCCCCCGATTCTCCACCTATTTTCATGGACTTGGATTATTCCTAGCACGGGTGTCAAACTAACAGCCCTCCAACTGTTGGCAAACTACAAAAAGTCCCATGAGGCATTGCAAGATTGACAGTTACAAGCATGACTCCCAAAGGCAGAAGCATGATGGGACTTGTAGTTTTGCAAAAGCTGGAGGGCCGCCAGTTTGGCACCCCTGTCCCAGCACAATACCTATTGGCTCCAGCAGTGTTTGATACTCCGAAATGAATTTAAAAATCGGGTCTCTTTGTTTCCTGTCTAGAAGCAGCATAGCTACGTTTGTGGTTCCCCCGATTCTCCACCTCTGGGCTGGAGAATATGGAGGGAGAACACAGACTGGCAGTGTATGAAGGAGCGATGTCAGCCCTTCACTGGCCATCTGTGTGCTGAGATGATCAGCGGAGAACATTTTCTCCGCTGATCATCTGTTTCCTAAACCACTAATGATCTGAGATCAGCAACGATCCTTAGGAATGCCGCTGATCTCAGTTTCATAAAAGGACACCATAATAAGATTCTTTCATTTTCAAATCTATTGAAAAAATGGCATCAGAAATCAGTTTGGTTGGCATGGCAAACTAAGTTTGCAGTCTTCTACTTTTTTGTATGTGTAAATTTCCCTATCCTATAGGCTTACCGAGTGCCCTTATTTTCATGGACTTGGATTATTCCTGGCACGGGTGTCAAACTGGCAGCCCTCCAGCTGTTGGCAAACTACAAGTCCCATGAGGCATTGCAAGATTGACAGTTACAAGCATGACTCCCAAAAGCCAGAGCATGATGGGACTTGTAGTTTTGCAATAGCTGGAGGGCTGCCAGTTTGACACCCCTGTCCCAGCACAATACCTATCGGCTCCAGGCGTGTATGATACTCCGAAATGAATTTAAAATCGGGTCTCTTTGTTTCCTGTCTAGAAGCAGCATAGCTATTCTATTGCAGTACACCCACCAACGGTGTTACATAGTCTGCCATATGTAAAAGAACGAAGTACAAAATCGTTTAAACCTATGAAATAATCTCATGGCTTTTTTGGATTCTTATTTGGTCCAAAGTCATGAATTTGCACCTGCATATATCAATAGCAAACACACCCTGAGATACAAACAGTATGGCTCCAGGTTGCAAGTTGCACATTCAGCATTTTGCGCAGCAGATTCACAGCATGTACCTCCCCATTTCCACTTTTTTCTGGGAGGGGCATGTAATAATTGCAAACACAGCAAAGGCTACAATGTCACCAGCAGTGATCTGGCTATTCCTACCTTCTGGCAAAACATCACTGCTGGAAATTCGCAAAAACTTAGTGCAAAGGTATTCATAAGTATTCATAACAAGTTGCATATGAAGGACTATAACAAAATGGTCACCTTAGAAATATAAAAAAAAAAAAAGAACATGTAATAAAACTCCTAACCTTGTAATTCTCAGGAAGCAGAGATCCTTCCCCAGCAGTACCATTAAAAAGAAGCTTTAAACCCCTTCCCCACCATATAGTGCAAATAGTACACTTTGCATACAGAAAACATCAAAAATACAAATCCTAAAACTACGCTAAAAACTGACTGAAATGCTACTACTGCTTTATATTGAAAAATAAATGTCAAGTACTGGATTTAATTAAGTTGGCATTATTTGAATAGGAAAATTCCTGAGAAATAATTTAAAGGAAAAGGGTACGGGGGCTGTTTTGTCACACATTAGCACAGCCTCATATATTCGGCATTATGGCAATTGTGGCTTTCCAAGTTTTCTAATGAAAACATTGCGCACCATACGCAATGTGGAGTTGATGTATAGTGGTAAAATCAGTTTTCATGTTTAATTAAAAAACAACTCCAGAATAAAAGCCCAGCTGGGCAGAGTGATTCAATGATTACCAGAAATATTACATTACATACTGAACTACCTCACCAGCTAAAACTTTGAGTCCTCATGCACACTGGATGTTTTTACAGCGGCTGTTTTTGGCGTTTGACGGTTTTTTCTACAGCCAGTAAACCCTCCAGCCTGTTATCCTATGTGTCCATGCACACAGACTGGAATCAGTATTTTTTGCCGTTTGGCGTTTTTTCTACAGCCAGTAAACCTCCCAGCATGTTATCCTATGTGTCCATGCACACAGACTGTAACCAGTATTTTTTGGCGTTTTGGCATTTTTTTCTACAGCCAGTAAACCCCCCAGCATGTTATCCTATGTGTCTATGCACACATAGACTGTAATCAGCGTTTTTTGGCTGGGATGTTTTGTGGCTGGAAAAAAAAAAACAAAACTAGTTGGTTTCTAGAGGAGTTTTTCAGCCGTAAAAACACTTGAACACAGCAAAACACTGCACACCGAAATTTTTGGACTTTTTTTGACAAAAAAAAACGCTAAAAAACAAACGCGGAAAAATGCTAATGCAAAAAGCTGAAAAACGTTTTTTAATGTGAGTACACAGCTAACGTTACCAGTGTTATCAAAACGTCAAGTGTGCATGAGGAGTAAATCAGGCTTGCGGTGCACAAGTCTGCTCTGTAAGCTGATGAGGGGACGAGGAAGAACTTGGCAGGCCTAACAGAGACAGCAAACCCAGAATGACATCATCGGTTTGGAGATGAACATTCGTATGCTGTGCAGCCATATTGCAAGACACGGATTTAAGGTCAAAATAGAATAGGGGGCTTATTTACTAAAGCCAGAGAATGCAAGATCTTGTGCAGCTCGGCATAGAAACCAATCAGCTTCCAGGTTTTATTGCTTAGTCCTCATGCACACGGGACATTTTTACAGCAGCTGTTTTTGGCTTTTGACCTTTTTTTATACAGCTAGTAAACCCCCCAGCATGGGATCCTATGTGTTCATGCACACATAGACTGGAATCAACGTTTTTTGGCTGGAAAAAAACCCAGGACTAGTGGGTTCTAGAGGAGTTTTTTAGCTGTAAAATGCTCTAATGCTGAAGAACGCGGCAAAACACTGCAAACCAGCATTTTTGGACATTTTTTGACCAAAATACATTTTTTTTAAAACGCAAAGCGGAAAAATGCTGCTAAACGCTAATGCAAAAACACTAAAAACTCTTGTTTTTAACATGCCTTTACACAGCTAATGTTACCAGTGTTATCAAAACGTCCCGTGCAGGGGCGGGCTGACCATTTGGAAACTCGGGCACTGCCCGAGGGCCCAGGGTCAGTAGGGGGCCCCATGAGATGCCCCTGGTACCTTTTTCATAGGCTTTTTTGAGTTTGACCAAGGACACAGGGGCCCCATGATCCCCTATTGCCCGGGGGCCCCATTAGTTGTCAGTCCGCCCCTGGTCCCGTGTGCATGAGGACTAAGGATTAAATGGACAAACTGAAGTAAAAGCTGACTGGCTACCATACACAGCTGCACCAGAGTGTGAGTGCTCCAGTTTTAGTGAATCCCCCCCTTTGTATTACTTTTCAATTTGTATAAGTAAGGTTTCTACTGTGAAGTTTGAGGCTTAGTACAACCTCTTCTTTATGTTTCTAGAGACAGGATTTTGCATAGTTTTGGTAAATGGAAAGGCAGCTAACATTTATCGTACCTGAGGACTGAAACACAGCTTTTCTAAGGTGACAGTATGTAGAATAACATGTATATTAAGGCACGTGAATCTGAAGTACAGGCTGCTCCAGACCGAGCTCATGTCAGACGTATTCCTAGAACTTGCTCAAGCTCTTGTCTCCGCTGCTGAACCTGGAACATGAGAGCAGAAAATGTACAACTCAGATTAATAATGAGATGCATAAATAATAAGATTTTTATTTCTCATCCATTGAGGGACACAGGAATTTAGATACTGTTTGGTTATACTGCCTCCTGCAGAGGGATTTGTATACTGACAATGAGAAAAAAAAAAATCTATGGGTGGACAACCCTTCTCTAAGGATCATGTCATTTCAAAAACATATTATACATGAAATGAATGAAACAAGGTACTCAGGTCCCAGTAAACAATAATAAAATCAAGATTAACAAAGGAAAACCAAAGTTAACCACTTCCCCTCCAGAGGATTTACCCCCACCCAGGGACCAGCCAAGATTCGATCCATCTATGGGTAGGCTGATTGTACTGAAGTTGATTCCTCGCAACCAGCCTGTCAAAATGTTTGCATGTGATTACTGCCGGCGGCTACAGCCACCAGCAGTAATCTGTGTGTTCTGCCAGCAGGGAAGGCTCCCTACTGGATGTTGTTAGGACATTGCTAAGTGAGGCCTAGTTATTACTGCTCACCTCCTCCATCACGGGAGTGATCTTTTTTTCTGATTCACCTTCCTCACATGCTCTCTCTCTCCTGATTCAGTGACTCAGAGCTCAGCATTTGAAAGCTCACTCCTGTGGTAGTGAAGGTGAGCAGTAATGACTAGGCCTCACTTAGCAACATCCTGGGAGTATTCCAGTCAGGCTTCAGGAGGTCCATAAATGGCCTACACCTATAGCAAGGGCATTATTCAACTTTAGTCAGAGCTTCCAGTTTGTTTCTATCTACAGACACCTCTTACCCGCATAGGCAGTTTTTTTAGCAAAGGTGAAGTAACCATTTAATAAAACTCATATGCATCGATTACTTTGGCTCCCTCTACAGCCTATAGGGCTGGATTCTTGCTTTATATGGCATTCAAGCATTGGTGATACAGGCGTATAGGTAGTCATCTAAATGGTTTTTAGCTTTTATTCACATAAGTGTTATGTTGGAGAGTGGAAATGTAGAGGAAAAACCTTAACTTGCTTGTTTAGATCCACATTAAAAGAATTGTAATTAAATATAGACTTTTATAAATGGCACATCAGAAGACAGCCCTGTACTGTACATATGGCTCTTCTTTTTTATTTAGTTGGATTTGAAGCCAGTGCCCATCAATATTTGCGAAGTCTCTACCTGATATATAGATGGATATCTCCTTTTGTTTAAACATTTTACATTTTTGGGGTGGGAGAAGCGCTATGGAAGTGTTAATAAACTACAGCAGAGAAAATTCAGGTCCCCTGTTCTGCCAGACGTAGTTGTACTGTGTAAATCTTAGAACTAAATGGGCAAAAATACAAATCCTTTGGCTTGTAAAACAGCTCCCATACGTGTATTTCATCGGTATATTTACAGTGAAGGAAATAAGTATTTGATCACTTGCTGATTATGGATGTTTGCCCACTCACAAAGAAATGATCAGTCTAAAAATCGAATGTTCGGTGTATTGTAACACTGAGAGACAGAATAGCAACAAAAAATTCAAAAGAAATGCATGTCTAACAAATGATGCACTGATTTGCATGTTCATGAGGGAAATAAGTATTTGATACCAGGGGCAGACTGACAACTCATGGGGCCCCCGGGCAATAGGGGATCATGGGGCCACTGTGTCCTTGCCCAAACTCAAAAAAGCCTATGAAAAAGGTACCAGGGGCAACTCATGGGGCCCCCTACTGACCCTGGGCCCTCGGGCAGTGCCCGAGTTTCCAAATGGTCAGTCCCCCCGTTTGATCCCCTATCATTCAGTAGGATTTCTGGCTACCAGCTGTCTTTCATACAGGTATCAAGCTGAGATTAGAAGCAGTCTCTTAAAGGGAGTGCTGCTAATCTCATTTTCTTACCTGTATAAAAGGCACTGTCCACAGGAGCAATCAAACAATCAGATTCCAAGCTCTCCACCATGGCAAAGACCAAAGAGCTATCCAAGGATGTCAGGGACAAGATTGTAGACCTACACAAGGCTGGACTGGGATACAAAACGATCGCCAAGCAGCTTGGTGAGAAGGTGACAACAGTTGGTGCAATCATTCGCAAATGGAAGAAACACAAAACAACTGTCAGTGTCCCTAGGTCTGGTGCACCATGCAAGATCTCACCTTGTGGAGTGTCAAGCTGCTTGCCTGAAGTTCGGAATTTACATACAAACACATATGGAACATGATACAGGCTTCTATACATATCAATACTCCAGCAATGCATCAGATTGGAAGCCTTTGGCTTTCATAACGCAGCTACTACCACGGTACAACTGAAATATCATTCTTCATTTAGAAAATGGGTCAAACCATATTGACATGAAACATGTCCCCTTTCAGCCAAGTCTGCTCATTTCTTGAAAAGGAAGCAGTTGGTAGGAAACGTAGTTGGAAATGGATGTAGGGTAAAAGAAGAGAGAATAAGAAAACCAGACCTTGAAGAAAACATATCTTCCCACGGCCTCCTGAGCCCATGGCTGTTCGTAGAATTCTGAATGTCTCTCTTCCTCTGGATTTCCCATCACATCAGTCATAATCTGGAAGTACATCATCTCTTAATTACAGTGCATGGTTTATAAATAAATACATGATTTAAATAACTTTCATTTTATCATCTGTAGGCTGTATTAAGCCAACCTTCAATTTGCAAAAAGATATTATATAAGCTGCACCAGTTAATCACAGGACCTTTCAAAAATATAATTGAATTAATGTTTTTATGAACAGGTTGACACCGCCTCCTTCAGGTTTACAAATGCCTGAATAGGAGGTGTAGGATAACTGTAGGGAGCTGCACCAAGATATACAGAATACAGAATGAAAGAAGGTCATCAAAAAAATTAATTAAGCACTTTTTTTGTGTAAAGTGACTACATAACATAACACCATAGTGGTCATATTAGGAAAAAAAATGATACCTTTTCTACTAAAAGCGCTTTCATGACACAGAACGCAAGTGTTACTTGTAAGGCTGATGACAGAGCGGCGACTGTCACCAGTGATCCTGCAGATAACAATTTGTCAAAATCAGCAGTGGCAGTATCACCAGGAGGCTGTGTCTGTCTCTATGGAATCACTCTCTTTGTAGCTGAGGCAGTGAGATGTTGTTCCCATCGTTCGTAATTGATATTCAGCAGCATCTGAGCCAGTGACAGAGGGAGCGACTCCACATGTACAGATAGGCAGCCTTTTTGGTGATCCTGCCGCTAGCAATCTGTTGCTAGCGACAGAATTACCCATGTGATATCAGCCCGACAGGATTAATGATGATGCTAAATTTCACAACTGTCTGTGCTTTTAACCCCTTTCATGCCTGCAATTTGTTGCTTAACATCCTCCTGAGTGATGACCTGTGCTGAAGGTATGTTTATCTATGTCACCTCTTCAACAGATAGTAACAGTTTGCATGGATGCCACCTGTCAGACCAATCATTTAATGACAGCTATATGTCAGACATATTGATCATGTACGCTGGAGGATTCATTCTAGGGTTGCCACCTCATCCCTTTAATAATACCGAACACATATTAATGACACAGGTTCTGTGATTAAGGTGGTAATTAAATTCACTAATGCAGGCCATAGATGGGGAAAAAACCGGCCATTTTTTTAACAAAAAAAAACGAAAAAATCGGTCGTTCAACCAACATTACCACCAAGAGTAAAAAAAAAAAAAAAATCGTCCGATTTTCTTCCTGTCTACGGCCGGCATTTAATTCCTTCTGTCCCTGCAGAGAGCTCCGCTATTATATTTGACATTAAAAAGTATTGCAGTTGCAACATTGTATCTATTTGTATCCATTTCGGATACAGATGTTTTTTCGGATACAAATAGATACAATGTTGCAACCGCAATACTTTTTAATGTCAAATATAATAGCGGACTGGAATTCTTCTTTCTCTTCTTCTTCTTCTCTCTCTTTTTTTTCTTCTTCTTTTTCTTGCAGGTCACGGCTCATGTGCAGATTTTTATTGGTAAAAAGATCAGTCGATCTGCCCATCATTGCCGCGAAAATTGGGCGATCGGCAAAATCGGACGATTTTTTTCCAACTTTAATGATCAAAAAAATGTGACAAAATCCAGAAAAACGGCCGACCAATTAACCCATTAACAGTGCGACAATCAGACGATTTTTGACCCATCTATGGCCTGCATTATTGCCTTATCTGCAAAAAATTGGCCTCAGAACCTGTGTCATTAATATGTGTTCGGTTTTAAAGGCATGAGGTGGCAACCCTAATTCATTCACAGAATAAGCCTTCAGCCTCAGCAGTGTGCTCCTGTTTAACCACTTGCTCTCCAGAGGATTTACCCCCCTTCCTGACCAGGCCATTTTTTGCGATACGGTGCTGCTTTATTTTAACTGGCAATTGCGCGGGCATGCAACGCTGCACCCAAATTAAATTTATGTAATTTTTTTCCAACGAATAGAGCTTTCTTTTGGTAGTATTTGATCACCTGTGCGTTTTTTATTTTTTGCGCGGTTTAAAAAAAAAAAAAAAAAAAAAAGACTGACAATTTTTGAGAAAAAAAAAACAATATTTTTGACTTTTTGCTATTAAACATGTCCAGTAAAAAAATTTAAAAAAAACCAAAATTTCCTCATAAATTTAGGCCAAAATTTATTCTACTACGTGTTTGCTGGAAAAAAAAATCCCAATACGTGTAAATTAATTGGTTTATGTGAAAGTTATAGCGTTCACAAATGGCGGTATATATACTGGGATTTTTTTTTTTTACTAGTAATAGCAGTGATCAGCGACCTATAGCGGGACTAGGCATTCTGACACTGGGGGGAACGGAAATGGTGTCACTGACATCCCCAGTGACACCAATACAGTGATCAGTGCTAATAAAAAGCACTGACACTGTACTAATGGCACTGGGCAGGAATGGGTTAACATCTGAGGCGATCAAAGGGTTAACTGTGTGCTGTTTCACATTATGTGCTGTGTCTGTGTGTTTCACTGTAATCACACTGCTTTGTATGGCTCTGCTATGCACAAAGCAGTGTGCAGGAACTGACGGGAGAGAACTGTATTGTTTACATACAGTTCTCTCCCCCGTCGATATTACTCGGCGATCACCGTGTGCTGGAGAGTAATCATCGGCCGGGACCCGGTGATTGACAACGAGGCAGAGAATGGCGCCATGGGTAGGGTGTGCGCCCCCTATCTGGAACTGCAAAATCATCTATATATGTGTTTTTGTGCACCCTGCTGCCCTGTAGCAGTATTTCTGCTATAGGGAGGACTGCAAGTGGTTAATACTGTAAGGGGCCACTCATGCCACATAACAAGACATGCTGTTAGGTTAATTGGATCCTGTCTAAATTGGCCCTAGAATGAATGTAAGTTAGGGACCTTAGATTGTACACCCCTTTAGGGTTAGGGACTGATGCGAATGTACAATATATATGTAAAGCGCTGCATAAATTGATGGCACTGTACAAGTACCTTAAATAAATAAATTGTGTGTATAACCTCCACCCTGGTCTATGTTTTGAATGTGTGCTACCAGGCTTTATTAAAAGGAATTGCAGTGCTAATTGTTTTCCAACTTGTATGCAATTCATATGTACTGCAGTGTGTTGTAATGCGTTACAGCCCATCAAAATGTGATGTTACATGTCCTACTGTTTTTCAGCATTACACAGGGGCTGAATTACTAAATCCAAATATACTGTGCACTGCAAGTGCAGTTGCTCTAGATCAGCCTTTCTCACCCCAGGGTGGCCTTGAGGTTTCTTCAGGGGTGCCTTGGCAAAATGTCTAAAAATTGCCCAAACTTTGTATACAAGCCAGTGATGGAACAAGCCTGCCTTTTAGTTACACAAAGCCACAGGTTTTCATTGTGCACCATTACAACCTTCTAGTGTCGGATTCCTAACAACCAACAACATCATCATTTGATAAGGAGGATGTCAGCTGCCTGCACAGCATCCTAGTTTGACCCTCCCCAGCCCCTCTCCATCAGTGCTGGGGTCACATAGTTTTTCACATTTTAGAATGCGGTGCCCTTGTAAAATTATTGACAGTCTGGAGGCACCCCATTTCAGAATAGGGTGCCTCAAGACTGTCCATAATTTTAAAGGGTGCCTCAAGACTGTCCATAATTTTAAAGGGTGCCTCAAGACTGTCCATAATTTTAAAGGGTGCCTCAAGACTGTCCATAATTTTAAAGGGTGCCTCAAGACTGTCCATAATTTAAAGGGTGCCTCAAGACTGTCCCTCAAGACTGTCCATAATTTTAAAGGGTGCCTCAAGACTGTCCATAATTTTAAAGGGTGCCTCAAGACTGTCCATAATATTAAAGTGCCTCAAGACTGTCCATAATTTTAAAGGGTGCCTCAAGACTGAGGGTGTCCATAATATTAAAGGGGCCTGACTGTCCTTAAAGGGACTTAAAAAAGGTTGAGAAACACTGATCTAGATCTGAGGGAAAGCTCTGCTGATTTCTATCATTCAATCATGTGCAAGCAAAAATGCTGTTTTTTTTAATCTCCTTGCATGATTGGGTTTTCTTTGCAAAGTGAAGCTTTACCTCATTTACTAAGCTCTGGAGCAACTGCACTTGCAGTGCTCAGTCTATTTGCCTTCAGTAAATCAGCCCCCTAGTGTTGCTGTGAAATTAAGCAAAAAGGCATATGGAAAATTACCCTGTTCTTGCATTGAGCAATGCTGCCCAAAACTACTTGTGTGAATGAGCCCAAATGGTCAGATACGATTCCAGTAATAAGAAAAAGGATTAATTCATTTTAGAATATAATCACATATTTTGTGCATTTGTCTGCCTAAATTCAAAACAAAACAACGTTTTTATTAAAACTGTGAACCAAATAAAGGCCGTATATATGTCCTTAAAGAAATATATAAAGATTGTTTGGTGGGCAAATTAGTTACAGAGTTAGTCTAGTTGACTGAACCGCACTGCCGCTACTACAGTTTGTCAGGGCTTCTAAACGTCAATGGCCTCACAAAAGGGTAATAGTCTGCTGTGAGTGATCCTGAGACGGACCCAGGGGCAGTACACAGATCCTATTCCAATGATGACATTTTGCTAAGTTTGGATTTTTCAGACAACCAAAATGTTTCATGTTCACAGAAAGCTAATTTGTCCTTCTTTATCCTCCCCTTCTATGTAATTTGCCTTTATGATGCAAATCACCTTGAGATCCCTGCTTTGAGATTTTAGCCAGTCTTGTATAAATTCCTGAGGGCTGTTGCTAAAGCTTAACATGAAATCCCTCTGTGTCTTCAGATGGTTGATGGATTCAATCGTCTCATGAATCTATAAAAACAAGAAAAAACAAAAAACCACACGGTAAGTATAAAGTGACATAGGTTATCTGAGACACTAAATCACTTTGCAAGATGTCAGACTGGAATATTTTAAAATAAAAGCAGCAGTCAACATTTTCTATGTACTGAAATTATGGTGAAAAGTAGTTGGTACAATTAATGCAAATGCTCTGTCATCAACATATTTCTTTTGTGTATCAAATGACAAGTAGCCTAAGAGGAAACTTGCTTGACGGCTACCTAATTCTCCTTTCAACAAACTTGACATACACTGTATTGCCAAAAGTATTGTCCCCGCCCTCCAAATCATTGGATTCAGGTGTTCCAATCACCTCCATGGCCACAGGTGTATACAATCAAGCCCTAGGCATGCAGACTGCCTCTACAAACATTTGTGAAAGAATGGGTCACTCTCAGGAGCTCAGTGACCCCAAGCGTGGTCCCGTGATAGGTTGCCACCTGGCAATAAGTCCATCCGTGACGTTTTCTGGCTACTAAATATTCCACGGTCAACTGTTAGTGGTATTATAACAAAGTGGAAGCAACTGGGAACAACAGCAACTCAGCCACCAAGTGGTAGGCCACGTAAAATGACAGAGCGGGGTCAGTGGCTGAAGTGCACAGAAGTCACCAACTGTCTGCAGAGTCAATAGTTAAAGACCTCCAAACTAAATGTGGCCTTCAGATTAGCCCAACAACAGTGTGTAGAGAGCTTCATGGAATGGGTTTCCATGGCCGAGTAGCTGCATCCAAGCCTTACATCACCAAGTGCAATGCAAAGTGTCAGATGCAGTGGTGTAAAGCACGCTGCCACAGGACTCTAGAGCAGTGGATATGTGTTCCCTGGAGTGACCAATCACACTTCTCTGTCTGGAAATCCTATGGATGTGTCTGGGTTTGGCAGTTGCCAGGAGAACAGTACTTGCCTGACTGCATTGTGCCAAGTGTAAAGTTTGGTGGAGTGGGGATTATGGTGTGGGGTTGTTTTTTAGGGGTTGGGCTTGGCCCCCTAGTTCCAGTGAAGGGAACTCTTAAGGCGTCAGCATACCAAGACATTGTGGACAATTTCATGCCCCCAACTTTGTGGTAAGAGTTTGGGGATGGCCCCTTCCTGTTCTAACATGACTGCGCACCAGTGCACAAAGCAAGGTCCATAAAGACATGGATGAGCAAGTTTGGGGTGGAGGAACTTGACTGTCCTGCAGAGTCCTGACCTCAACCCCATAGAACACCTTTGAGATGAATTAGAGTGGAGACTGTGAGTCAGGCCTTCTCTTCTGACATCAGTGCCTCACCTCACAAATGTGCTTCTGGAAGAATGGTCCAACCTTCCCATAGACACCCTCCTAAACCTTGTGGACGGCCTTCCCAGAACAGTTGAAGCTGTTATAGCTGCAAAGGGCGGGGCCAACTCAATATTGAACCCTACGGACTAAGACTGGGGGGCTATTAAAGTTCATGTGCGTGTAAAGGCAGACCGACCAATACGTTTGGCAATATAGTGTAGTTTAACAAAATTAGCAGACTGTGAGTAAATCTGACCTTAACATCCAGGTTGGCGATCTCCTGCTGGTTAGTAGTTGATTGAAGAAAGTTGCTCATTTGGGCCTTTAAAGGGTCATCCACCTCAACATCAATGTCATAACACGCTGTCTTCTTCTGATCGTTAGGGTCCACACTAAACCAAAAGGGTAAATCAAAGCATTAAAAACAAATTGATTCATATAGAATAACTACTCGCAAGGAGCCTTATAAATCATGATATTTCAGTTTTGAGTGGGTGACGGTGTATAGAAGCTTTTGATACGTTAATACTTTAATAGGAACCTGTCAGGAGATAAATATATAGGCTGCCACTGCTAGTTTCTCCTGGAGAAAATGCTAGTCGCCTGGCTGTGATGATCATGTTTTGTCTTCACTACTTTCTGAGTTACTGACCAGAAACTAGTAATAAGATAATGAATTACTGTCCTCTGGAATATAACTTGATGACCTCTAGTTGACTGGCAAGATAATCCTTTTGTGATGTATTCTGAGTCAGAGACTCGGAACATGCAAGTGGAGTCAGATTTATCCCATGCTGGTGGCTCAAAAAGTATTAGAGCTATTAGGAAGCCATCACAGTCAGGCAGGGCGCCATTTCTATCCTACCTTCAGGACATTTCATGCCAGAAGCAGATGGACTACTTCCAACCTGTGTCTCACTCTCATCTCCAGAATGTGTGGGTATATGGCTGTGGAATGTTCATTAGCGTTTTGATTCCTGATTGTGGCTTTTAGTAAGACCTAATAAAGATGTTGATGATTTGATTTTATTTTCCTTCATAAATTCTTTATTTAAATAGCATCAGCCGAGTACTCATCAAACCATATGTGAACTATATAGCATAAAAAGGCAGCAATACAATGTTTTTTTATATAGAAGGATTAGTGCATTCCCCTAAGAGAAAAGAGGCTACAATCTAGATGTTAAGGGTCGCTGTATTTATAACAATGTAGGGATATCTCTGCTCTTGAAATTTTCTAATATTCTTTAGGCTAAAGGTGTAGTTTATGGGGAATACAAATAGGATAGAAAGCAGAGAGAGAGAGAGGGCGGAAGGGGGAGAGAGAGAGAGAGAGAGAGAGAGAAAGAGAGAGAGAGAGGGCGGAAGGGAGAGAGAGAGGGCAGAGAGAGAGAGAGAGGGCAGAAGGGAGAGAGAGGGGGGGGCAGAAGGGGAGAGAGAGAGGGCAGAAGGGAGGGGGGAGAGAGAGGGGGGGAGAGGGGAAGGGGGAGAGAGAGGGGAAGGGGGGGAGAGAGGGGAGGGGAAGGGGGGGAGAGAGAGGGGAGGGGGAGGGGAGGGGAGAGAGGGGAGGGGGAGAGAGAGGGGGGGAGGGGAGAGGGGGGGGGGAGAGAGAGAGGGGGGGGGGAGGGAGGGGGGAGAGAGAGGGGGGAGAGGGAGGGAGGGAGAGAGAGGGGGGAGGAAGGGGGGGAGAGCGAGAGAGAGGGGGAGAAAGGCAGGGGAGAGGGGGGAGAGAGAAGGAGGGGGAGAAGGAGGGAGGAGAGAGAGAGAGTGGAGGGAAAGAGAGAGGGGAGAGAGAGGAAAGAGAGAGGAGAGAGAGAGAGGGGGGAGGTGAGAAAGAGAGAGAGAGAGGGGGGAGGTGAGAAAGAGAAAGAGAGAGGGGGGGAGGGAGACACCGGGAAGAGAGGGAGGGAGAGAGAGATATACTGGTAAGAGAGGGAGAAGGAGGAGAGAGAGAGAGACACTGGGAAGAGAGGGAGAGAGACCAGGAAGAGAGGGAGAGAGAGAGAGGGAGGTAGGTCTGAACTAAAGGAGGTATGTCCCTTAGTTTGGAAGATATTAGTATTTCTTGATAAGTTGATTTGAACATTATCTACTCTAACCATGTGACGTTTGCACACGATAGTTATCGACTGTTCCTTGTATTTATGATACTGTTTATGCATTTTTATGCAGTTGAAACTGTACTTTGTACTTAAACATTTACCAAAAATACCAAAAATCTAATAAAAATATTGAAAAGAAAATCCAGTAGTACACTGTCTCACCCTGCTCTGCACATGCTCATTTGTTCTCTATTTTCCAGCATTGTGCCTAAAATCAGAGCCACTAGAGGCCGATCTGCTGAAAGTCTAAAGATTTAATGCTGCTCAGGGGCTTTGGGCTTTAGCAAAACGGCAGCCTCCAGCAAGGAGAATCAGGAACAATGCTGGAGGCAATTTATAGAACATACTTATTTTGGTGGCATAGTTAATAATGCTGAATGTATGTTCCTTGAACAAAGACTTCCCTTTAAGGGTGTAAAAAAAAAAAAAAAAAGATGAGCAGATATCATGCACACCATACAGTACAAGTGTACAAGTGTCATCCCCAGGTACATTATACCCCGTCAAAGCTTTAGCTTAACAAACCAGATCTGGATAATCCTAACGGGAAGTCATTTTAGTACAAATCAATGCTGCGCCAAGCTGAGCATATGTTGCCTGTCAGAGGGAAACGTGTTGAAATTTAAGCATGAAGTTTCACTTCTTTAAAAGCACATATGCTTCCTGTTGTTTAGTAAGCAGTAGGCTGGTGTTTTTTTTCTCCATATACCAATCTGAAGCTGATTAATCTGGGAAATCTTTCTTTCATGTGTAAAGGTTTTATGTGGATTGCAGTTGGGTTTCTAGAAAGCGTTGTGGAAATAGGAGAATCCCCTACACAAACATACAGCGTGTGCTTCCTACAACAGAAGGCACTGCAGCCCATAATCTCCATCACAATAAGACATCTGTCTTATAAAATGAGGGAAGGATATATAGTATTGCCCGTCTTTCACGGTTCCTTTGCATGTTTGTCTATAGTACTCAGTAGTGTTCAATTAAAGCACAGCTGTACTTTGGTAATAAACACAATGCTGTAAAAGAGAATGGTAGGGAAGCCAGACACTGTATTTGGTTTTTTCATTAGAGGGGGTTTTAATGCATTTTGGAACTGCCATGCGTATTGCTTGCAGGCACCAGCAGGTGTGCCACAAAAAGGCAAACCCAGGAATGCCCAAAACTAGGCTGAATGTGTACATTACCCACCTTTCTGAAGTATGACCACCTCCTCAGCCATCCCTGACACACTAACTGGGGAACATGAAAGAGCTTTAACTTTTGCTCAGGTTGCATGTACTTAGGTTTAGGGCCTCCACTGTGTACATGAGTTACATAGAGAGGAAAAAAATTAGTTCTTCAGTTGTATAGAAGTGATAGGTTTACATTAGAAGTGCTCCAGGACTGCCCAGGATCACAACCTCATGAGATTAGCTTTCCCAGGACCCCCTGAGAAGGCCCACTGACATAGCCCTAGCCTTGGTAATTGCACCAGAAATCAAGGTGTAAGGTATTTTTTCACATCTTTCTTCCTGTGTTTTGTATCACTTCCAGGTAACAGGGGCTGAAAGACAGATGTAAGGTCTACTTTAAGGCTGCATTCACACTTGAGTGATTTGTAGCTTGAAGCTCCAAAAAACTTAAAAAGTCAATTGTTCTCTATGGTCCCTGTTCACACCTGATCACACAAACAGGCACCATACAGAACAATTGATTGTTTAAGTTTTTTGGAGCTTCAAGCTATAATTCGCTCAAGTATGAATGCAGCTTTTAGCAAAGTGGTGCTTTTCCCATTTAAAGTGGAGTTCCAGTCACACTGTAAACAAATAAAGAGTCAGCAGCTACAAAAACTGTAGTTGCAGATTTTTAAAAAACAGACACTCACCTGTACCTCGATCCCGCGGTGTCCTCCCCGCAACCCATTTCACCGGCCATCCGGTGTTCCTGGCGCCGACATCTTCAGTATGGGCACCTGGTTGTGACAGCTTGCGGCTTCACAGCTGGGTGCACACTGCGCATCCGCGAGTACCGCTGCGCTTTCTGAACGGTCCCGTAGTCTTCTGTCACGTGTCCCAGAAGACTACGGAGAAGGGGGTGACAACATTGGCTATTGATTGTCTAGACGATCGCAGCAGAAGTGGCAGCGGGAACCTGTCAATTTCAGGTACCCGCTCCCCCCACTCTCCAGTCTTTAAAGTGGAACGTCCCCTCTTGGATGGAGATCTGCTTTAATCACTTCAAGTCCGGACACTTTTACCCCCTTCCTGCCCAGGCCAATTTTCAGCTTCCAGTGCTTTCACACTTTGAATGACAATTGCGCGGTCATGCAACACTGCACCCATATGGATTTTTTTTGCATTTTTTTGAGACAGATAAAACTTTATTTTGTGGTATTTATTCACCACTGGGATTTTTATTTTTTTTGCTATATAAATGAAAAAGTCCAAAATTATTTTTTTAAAAAGTGTTTTTCTTATACAATTTTGCAAATAAACAATCTTTCTTCATACATTTTGGCCACAATGTATTCAGTTACCTTTTTAGTAACAAAAAAAAAACCCAAATTAGTTTATAACCAAAAATTATAAATTTTAAAATTTTTGTTTTACATTTTTATTTTATTTTTTTATATTATTATTTATTTTTTTAACATACTGTCACCCTAGCAGTACAGTGTCACCACAGTGACACTGTGGTGACACTGTACTACTTGTGGGGGGTAATGAAGATTTTTATTTTTTTTTACACTGATTGCTTTTACACCCATAAAGGCTGTAAAAGCAATAATTTCTCCTCTCTGGCTGCATTTTTGTAGCCATTGAGAAATACTGTGTGAGCTGTTTTTGGTCATTTCACATGGTACAAAGCAATGATGTCTGTACCATGTGAAGTGATCATTCTTGCTTACTACTAGTATTCATGATGATCACTGATTGTGCCAATCTGAGTAATCACATGATCGGGACCTCACACAGAGGTCCCATACAGCGATCGGTGTTCCGCTGTGTCCGGAGGAGTGCGCACAAGCAGGGAAGCGGGGAGGACGTTTATAAACGGCCGCCCACCCCTGCACTGCTCCCGTCCGGCCGTTTACGTACATGGGCCAGACAGGAAGTGGTTCAGGACACAAAAGGTTTGCTTTATTCCTCCCAGCAACATATACTTACCTTTATTTTGTTTACCACTCTGATCAGTGCTAGGAACACAAAATGAAGGTAGGTCTATTCTGGGTTAGATAAATGACAGTAAACCCATTGCTTTGTCTGGTTTGGGCGAAGCACAGGTTCACTTTAAGGGAGGCATAAAGGTGGCAGTTGGCATTATGAATGGGCAGGAAATCAGCAGTCATCACCATACTAGTTTCATTTTATATATGCTCATTTCTAATAACATTCTAAACTTTTACAGATTTATGAGCATTATTATCATTGTGCCATAAACAAACGTGCATTTCTTTCACCGAAGTGGTCCTTACTCACCTAATGGTGTGGTTAATTATTATGGGATCCGGGTGCTGCAAGAGACTTGCCAGTTTCATGGGGATGTCAGAGAACCTCATTCGGATGCAGTTAAAGATCTGTGTTTGTAAGAACCAAAAAAAGATAAACACAAAACTGAGCAAATTCAGTATATTTGTGTGCATATTTATTGCGAATTTAAAAAATAATATATCTATACAAGCAAAGTATTTATAAAGTGTAAAGCTAGAGATAAAATGAATCAGGAAGGTTACGGAAGACTATGAAATGTCAAGAGGTGTGAGGAATGCATAGGTACACACAAATGTATTCGTTTTGGCGATGGACACATGGGAAGGCCCTACACGCATGCTCGGGCTTGTCATTCCATAACAAATGGAGAGTTGCCCCTGCTGCTGCAGTCTCAATTGTTTCCTACCTGCCTGAAGTATCGGTTACAGTTGATGTACTCCTTCTCATGGCTGTCCTGAAGCTTGTTATTCTTGATGTACAGCCACAGAGCTTGCATGATGTTGGCACGGGTCTGAGTGTGAACACCCAGGAGCCGAGCCAGGCGGGTGTCCAATTTATACTGGGGAGGCTGCCAAAGCACAATGGAAGGCATTAATAAGGAACGGATTGTATCCAGATTTTGTATTATCTTCGCTACACACTACTTAGACAATCAGTTTTATTCAACTTTTACTCCTTGAATAAAATATATTCTCATTATATATATAAAAGACAAGTACAGAGGTTTATTTACAGGCCATCTCTACTCCGACTGTTATTTCTGTTTTGCAAAGTTACCAGCAAGTTAAATGACATGGGGTTATATTCTGGATTTGTACCACTATTGGAATTCTTTGTTTCCCCCATATACCATGGTCAATGCAAAGCCAAGTGATTGTGCTATGTGCCTCCATTGACTTATGAAACGTAGAACAATAATAAACAAATAACTGAAGATTTACACCTCAATACATAAAGGGGGATATGATCACCATGTATAATACATAAGGGGGGATATTATCTCCATGTATAATACATAAGGGAGGGATATGATCTCCATGTATAATACATAAGGGGGGATATGATCTCCATGTATAATACATAAGGGGGATATGATCTCCATGTATAATACATAAGGGGGATATGATCTCCATGTATAATACATAAGGGGGGGATATGATCTCCATGTATAATACATAAGGGGGGGATATGATCTCCATGTATAATACATAAGGGGGGATATGATCTCCATGTATAATACATAAGGGGGATATGATCACCATGTATAATACATAAGGGGGGGATATGATCTCCATGTATAATACATAAGGGGGGATATGATCTCCATGTATAATACATAAGGGGGGATATGATCTCCATGTATAATACATAAGGGGGATATGATCTCCATGTATAATACATAAGGGGGGGATATGATCTCCATCTATAATACATAAGGGGGGGATATGATCTCCATGTATAATACATAAGGGGGGATATGATCTCCATGTATAATACATAAGGGGGGGATATGATCTCCATGTATAATACATAAGGGGGGGATATGATCTCCATGTATAATACATAAGGGGGGATATGATCTCCATGTATAATACATAAGGGGGGGATATGATCACCATGTATAATACATAAGGGGGGGATATGATCTCCATGTATAATACATAAGGGGGGATATGATCTCCATGTATAATACATAGGGGGGGATATGATCTCCATGTATAATACATAAGGGGGGATATGATCTCCATGTATAATACATAAGGGGGATATGATCTCCATGTATAATACATAAGGGGGATATGATCTCCATGTATAATACATAAGGGGGATATGATCTCCATGTATAATACATAAGGGGGGATATGATCTTCATGTATAATACATAAGGGGGGATATGATCTCCATGTATAATACATAAGGGGGGATATGATCTCCATGTATAATACAAAGGAGGGGATATGATCTCCATGTATAATACATAAGGGGGGATATGATCTCCATGTATAATACATAAGGGGGGGATATGATCTTCATGTATAATACATAAGGGGGGATATGATCTCCATGTATAATACATAAGGGGGGATATGATCTCCATGTATAATACAAAGGAGGGGATATGATCTCCATGTATAATACATAAGGGGGATATGATCTCCATGTATAATACATAAGGGGGGATATGATCTCCATGTATAATACATAAGGGGGGATATGTGATCACCATGTATAATACATAAGGGGGATATGATCTCCATGTATAATACATAAGGGGGATATGATCACCATGTATAATACATAAGGGGGATATGATCTCCATGTATAATACATAAGGGGGATATGATCACCATGTATAATACATAAGGGGGATATGATCTCCATGTATAATACATAAGGGGGGATATGATCACCATGTATAATACATAAGGGGGGATATGATCACCATGTATAATACATAAGGGGGGGATATGATCAACATGTATAAATACATCAGTGGTTCATATAGTGAACTCGGTGTAGAGATTTTCACCCTGAGGTCATCACAGAGGACAAGGGGGCACTCTTTACGTCTGGAGGAAAACAGATTTAATCTCCAAACACAGAAAAGCTTCTCCATAGTGAGAGCTGTGAAAATGTGGAATAGACTCCCTCAAGAGTTGGTTCTGGCCAGCTCAGTGGATTGCTTTAAAAAAGGCCTGGATTCTTTCCTAGATACACAGAATATAACTGGATACTAACATTTATAGGTAAAGTTGATCCAGGGAATATCCGATTGCCTCTCGGGGGATCAGGAAGGAATTTTTTTTCTCCTGCAGGAGCAAATTGGAACATGCTTTTCTGGGTTTTTTTGCCTTCCTCTGGATCAACTGGGGTATAGGATTATAACTTTCTTTTTTTTTTTTAATGGTTGAACTGGATGGACTTGTATCTTTTTTCAGCCAGACTAACTATGTAACTATTATGATCTTGTAGGACAGAGTGGGTTTAAGTAACACAACCAAATCTTGCCCCTTGCCTAAGCTTGTGATTGGATAGTGAATGGAGAAGCAGCAGACTAATAAACTAATCTATATGCCACGCTGCTCCTTCTACTTATCAGCATGTTAGGAACTTTTGTAAATGATAAAAAAATGGCTGGAGTTGCACTTTAGCTTTGCCCCTAATCTGTGCCAGAAAAAACAGCATTGGATATTGGTCTGGTTATTACAACAGGATGGATTTATTTTTTTTTAACTCTGCAAAATCTCATCTCCGTGCACTTACTTGGTGGTCCAGCATTAGAAGCAAGGTGCATTTCACATTCACGTCCCCAGGTCTCTTCACCTGGAATCCATCTGTTTCCTGAGTGCTTGCCATTCTGTGCCACTGGAGGGAGAGGAGTTTTCTTGTAAAAATGTATTTAGATAATGTACACATCATTCTGATTTCCTCACTAATGTCACAGGTTTATTTTTGCTCTATGTATAAAAAAATTGCTCTGTCAATCAAACAAAACAGACACGAGAGCACTGACACTGCTGCTTAGTAATACCCACATAAACTATTTTATGGTTAACCTCTTTTTTTCAGTATTAGCAATAAAAGTACAGACACAAAAAAGGGAATTAATTCAGTACATACAACTGACAAAGTGCCACCCAGAGGGTAACATGAGGTGTTAACGCAAATCTAAAGGTATTTTTTTTTTTTTTTTTTAATAACAAACAGGCTATACTTACCTGCTGTGTGTAATGGTTTTGCACAGAGCATCCTGGATCCTCCTCTGCTGGGGTCCCCTGCAGGCTCTCCTGGCCCCTCCCTTCTGTCAAGTGCCCCCACAGCAAGTAGCTTGCTATGGGGGCACTCGCTGCTCCATATGTCCATTCACATACGGAGCAGCGGCTTAGCCCCAACCCCCTCTCTCTCCTCATTGGCTGACTGGTGGCGATTGACAGCAGCGGGGGCCAATGGCTCCCGCTTGCTATCTCAGCCAATGAGAAGGCAGAGACCCGGGACAGCTGAGGCTGTCATTCATATCGCTGGATCGTGATGAGGCTCAGGTAAGTATTGAGGGAGCTGGGATAGCTGCTGCACACAGAAGGTTTTACCTTCATGTATAGAATGCATGAAGGTAAAAAGCCTTGAGACTTTACAACCACTTTAAGCTTCATAGTTTCAGTTTTCATTTTTTTTTTTCTCAAAAATGAAAATGCTGTAACACTATATCCTCAGATAAGGGAGGAAAGATAGGGCAAGGGATTTGTCAGGATGGAATAAGAGGCTTGGTGTAATGGAATCATAAAAAAGAAAGGATACAGCACCTCAATGGCTAATGAACAGGATATATTTACTGACGTAAAAAATGACAATGCACATCCCCATACATTCCCTCTCCCTACCGCCCGCCCTAAAAAAATTGCTGGGGTGGAGCTGTGCCTTCTGGAGGGGTTTTCTTTGGGGGTGGTTTTTGGGCGGGCGGTGAGGGGATGTGCATTGTCATATTTTACGTCCAATAAATATATCCTGTCCATTAGCCATTGAGGTGCTGTATCCTTTCTTTTTTGTAAGCTTTTGCTTTTGGATGCACCTCCCCCGTTATACGTATGCAGGGGGTATGGCATGAGCTGGTGTACCACTCGAGCATGCATCCCGAGCATGCACAATTTGCACGCCTGCAGAGCCACGCAGCAGCGCGATCTGTCAACGGCCATGTACCTCGGACACGGCCGATGACAGATCGGAGTACTGGCCCCGTTGCCAGTACCATGTGACCTGCTGTGACCAATCACAGCAGGTCACATGACAGTTGTATACAATGGATGGCTTCATTCATGCCATCCATTGTATACTAGTGTGCCTAGCTGTGAATGGTCACAGCGATCACATGCACAAGCTGGGCCAATCACAGCTCAGCTGTGTCATGTGATTAGCCGTGGCCAAATCATAGCTAAGCAAAAAAAAAAAAAAAAAAAAAAAAAACCCTGAATGAATCAATGTCATTCAGGTAAATGCTTGCTTATAGCAAAGTAATTCTTTGCTATAAGCAAATTGTGTAAAAAAAAAAAAAAAAAATACTGATAACTTCCCCAAAGTAGTAGCACATTGTTACTATGGTAACATTGTACTACTTTGGTCATAGTGAAATAAAAAAAAATCTTAAAAAAAAGAAAAGAAATGTAATAAAAAATTAAAAATATTTTTAAAAAACAATTATATATTTTTTTTCATACTGTCAGTGTCCCTGATCACCGCCATGCCAGTTATATGATGACGCTGTACTGCACTGGTGACAGTATGTAAAAAAAAATAGTGAAAATAATTTTTGTAATTTTTTAATTTTCCGAAAAATTATGACAAAAAAATACAACTTCAAAAAACTCGCCATGCCTCTTATGAAGTACGTCGGAATGTCTACTTTGCAAAAAGTGGTCATTTGGGGGATATCTGTACTGTTCTGACATTCTTGGACCTCAAGAAATTAGATTGGCTGTCAGTACTTCAGTATTGATCAATATTCAGATCTATACCATAGTTTGTGAACTCTATAAAACTTTCCTACAAACTAAAAAATACATCCTAATTTGGGTTATTTTCACCAAAGACATGTAGCAGAATACATCTCGGCCTAAATTTATGAAGAACAAATTATTTATTTGCAAACTTTTATAATAGAAACAAAGAAAAACGTGTTTTTTTTTTCAAAATTGTCGGTCTTTTTTTGGTAATTTAGCAAAAAATAAAAATCCCCGGCGGTGATTAAATACCACCAAAAGAAAGCTCTAGTTGTGTGAAGAAAATGATAAAATTTTAGTTTGGGTACAATGTTGTATGACCGCGCAATTGTCATTCAAAGTGTGAGAGCGCTGAAATCTGAAAAATGGCCTGGGAGGGAAGGGGTAAATTGCCCGGTATTGAAATGGTTAATCTCAATGCAAGGAGGCTTCTGTTGGTCCAATTACACTCTGCATTGTTTTATTTGTTGGTTAAAATGTATCTTTAGGCAAACCTTTTATTTTTAGTTGGGAAGGATTAGAACCCCTTTCAGGTTTTACTGCTCTTGGAGACTCTGCTAGAGAGATCCCACCACCACCACCACTTACTGTCCTGGGGACAACCTTTTCACACGACTGGAAGTGAAGGAAAGAAACACTTTAGCATCTCCTGAGCTCAGAGACCCAGATCAGGAATAGGTGGATTGATCGACCTCCATGTAAACTCGTCCAACAAAAGGATCAAAGGTTGTGCAGCCCTTTAGTAAGGCTGGGAAAGCCTGACAAGTACTGCAAATAAGAACAAAAGAAAGCGCACCAACCTTGCGCATTACCTCAGCGATAAAAGCGATTTTATTAAAATGGGATGTATATTCACAAACATAGCAGTACAAAAGCATATAATGTCACAAAAGCATATACTGTCCAAGCGTGGATCACAAGAGTTCAAGTAGCGTGCGAATCCCACTGAAAGGGAGACTCTCCGTACAAGGCTGATGCGTTTCGAAGGGAGATACCTTCTTCCTCAGAGCTCTGAGACATTATATGCCTTTTGTACTGCTACGTTTGTGCTCTGAGGAAGAAGGGATCTCCCTTCGAAACGCGTCAGTTTATACAGAGAGTCACCCTTCCAGTGAGATTCGCACGCTACTTGAACTCTTATGATCCACGCTTGGACATTTTATGCTTTTGTGTATTATATGCTATGTTTATGAGTATACATCCTATTTTAATAAAATCGCTTTTATCGCTGAGGTAGTGCGCAAGGTTGGTGCGCTTTCTTTTGTTCTTATTTGCAACACTTTAGCATCTACATGGACTTTCATTGGTGTATTATATTATCATGTGCAGAACTGGTACAATTTAGCAGAGGAGATAGCGTGGCATTTTTCAAGATGTAAGTCTTTGTCTGTAATATAAACCAAGCCTCACTAAGATGGTAAAAAGTGTCTTTTTTTGTATTCAGTGATTTATTGAACAAAGTTCTTTTATTAAATATGCATGTGATGCTTTGTGCTTGGGATTTAAGAATAGAACTTCCAGTTATTTTACTCACCTCAACCAGGTGGTTGTCTGGTCCATACAGATCTTTTTCCAGCTCGATAACAAGGCTTTTAAAGAATGAAGAGAACTTCCTCTTCTGCTTACTTGGCTGTGAAAATACAGGAAAAATCTGACTGTTATACCATCATACTGATCAATGACTCTCCAGACCACCTAGATCAGTGTTTCTCAACATTTTTTTCAGTCCAGGCACCCTTTAAAATTATGGACAGTCTTGAGGCACCCCATTCTAAAATGTGAAAAACTATATTAATTTTTTATAATGCAGCAACATCCACACCCGTAGGACACCCAACATTAGAGGTGATTTATTCTTTCAAAGCAAATACACGTTTGCACACTGGTACTGACTAGTATGCCTATGTTTCTCTTCTCCCTCAGTTTTTCTCCATCACTGAGCTAATGTGACCCCAGCACTGATGGAGAGGGGCAGGAGAGGGTCAAAATAGGATGCTGTGCAGGCAACTGACATCCTCCTTATCAACTGATGATGTCATTGGTTGTCAGGACACCTGCAGCTAGAAGGTCATAATGGTGCACAATGTAAACCTGTGGCTTTGGGTGACTAAAAGGCTGGCTTGTTCCACTCGTTGGCTTGTATACAAGTTTTGGGCAATTTTTGGACATTTTGCCAAGGCACACCTGAAGAAACCTCAAGGCACCATCGTTGAGAAAGGCCAACCTAGAGAACGGCTGATATCTTCTTATCCTGCTCAGATACTGAATAAGACAGAATGGGTCCCTAGTCAAGGCAGGAGCTTTCATACCCTCATCCATTTCATTAACGATGGAAAGGATTTCAATTGGCACATAGATACCACCCTACTGGCATGGCCCTTCTTCTGATATCAATTCCCTACAACTGCATCCTTCCCTATGAAGGTGCAAAGCTGTGACCAGTCAGGATATCCTCTTGGTTTACTGCAGGAACATGACTGCATGACATCCATGGGGTCCTTACCGAGGTTGCTTTGTGTAGTGTCCAGTGCTAATTCCACAAAACCAACAATGTCTAGAACTGCTTGAAATGAATAAAATGTGTTTTATAAAATAGGGTTTGTGGGAATTTTTTTTTGCCAATTAGAAGACTCCATTTATATTCGAATATAGAGTGGTATCTGTAATTTGCAGGACATCCCACTATGCACCTGCATTTTATGATTTTGCAACCCTAATTTTATTAGCGAATACAAAAAAAGGACAATAAACACTCATTAGGGTAAACCAGGAAATTATTTAAGTTCTCATCAACTTCTCCATTACTGCAGTATAACCATAGATGCAAATACCACTCAGTTCCCTTTGTTGTAAATTGGTTGGTTACATGAGTTAAGGCAGCCTTTCTCAACCAGGGTGCCTTCAGGCTTCTTCAGGGGTGTCTTCAGGCTTCTTCAGGGGTGTCTTGGCAAAATGCCCAAAAATAGCATACAAGCCAGCAGGTGGATCAATCCTACCTTTTAGTTACACAAAGCCACAGGTTTTCATTGCGCACTTTTATGACCTTCAAGCTGCCTGCACCTTAACAACCAACTACATCATCGGTTGATAAGGAGGGTACTGCCCCTCTCCGTCAGCACTGGGGTCACATTAGTGGAGTGAGGGAGAGAAAATGAGAGAGACACCCTGGAATACTAGTCAGTACCAGTGTACAAAAGTGTATTTGCTTTGGAAGAATAAATCACCTCTAACGTTGGGTGTACTGGATGTGTGTAGAATAGTTTTTTACATTTTAGATTGGGGTGCCTTGAGTTTGGGCAGAATTTTAAAGGGTGCCTTGAGATTATCCATAATTTTAAAGGGTGCCTTGACTGAAAAAAAGTTGAGAAACACTGAGTTAAAGGGGAGCTCCACCCAAAAGGGGAAGTTCCGCTTTAAGAATTGCTCCCCTGCTCCCCATTAAGAATTGGCACCTTTGGGGGGTGGGGGGAGCGGGTACCCGATTTGACAGCTCCCACTTCCGGTCGGCTCGGCGATCGGAAGGTGTCCTCCCTCCCTTCCATCTTTTGGGACACGTGACAAGTCCCAGAAGACTACAGGACCATTCATGAAGCACAGCGCTACTTGCGCATGCGCAGTGGACACCCGGCCGTGAAGCCGCAAGCTATCACAGCCGGGTGCCCACACTGAAGATGCTGGCCTCCTGGAATACAGGACGGCTGGTGAAACGGGCTGCGGGGGACACACCACGGGACCGAGGGACAGGTAAGTGGCTGTTTTTTTTAAAAGTCAGCAGCTACAGTTTTTGTAGCTGCTGCCTTTTATTTTTTGATAGGTTGAGTGGAACTCCACTTTAAGAAATAGGAGGAAATTTTACGTTTTAATAAAAAAAATTTGTGAGCATCTCAGATATCTTGCAATGAATTGCAGAACACTTGCAGAACACACATCTTGATAGGAGGAAAGCCCTGTCCCATGACCTGTCAAAGTCATGTGATCAGTGTCATTTTCCTCTTGGCGCACTTTTTCCTCAATTTTTTTGCATATATCAGAAGATTTTGGTTTTTAGAAAATGAATAATATGGTCAGTCCATACTATGGTCTATAAACCTGTCTATATGATCTGCTCTACCATCACTACTTATATTGTTGATATTTATTCCTATTATACTTTGTATCCTATTTCTACCATAAAGGCCATATTTTACAGGCTAGAAGAGTGACAAGTTACAGCCTGGAAGGTATGCTTTGGTCGCATCAGAAAGCCCTTTTGAAGCTCTTGCTTTTTTTTTTTTTTAAAAGGAAATTGAGGAAGAAGCCTTGTTATAGCGCCACACAAAAGAGGACAAATCACCTTAGAAGCATTTATAAAACATTTGCAGTGTGCTTCCCTTGAAATAAAGGCAGATAGCAAGCTTTGCAGGTTGGAACAAAATAAAAATTATTATTATTATACAGGATTTATATAGAGCCAACAGTTTGCTCAGCGCTGTACATTATAATCGCATGCTAGACTGTTTGCTATTTGTGTAAAGAGCAGGAATTTCCTCTGCAAAGCATTTGGAAAGCATAATTAAGATGAGCAATTGCCTGTGTCTGACTCCTGTGTGAATAAGGCCCACGCGTTTCTTACGTTGTCAAAATCATTCGAATTGTATAATCTCACTCACATCATCCAGCAGTTTTCCTTCAACCCGCAGCTCCCAGGAACTGACTCTCTCGGCTTCATCTCCGTCAGGTTTCCCTGGAGTGAATGTGTTGGAAATGTATATCCTCAGCTTGCGCTTTTGCTGGAGAGGGAAATTCTTTGTCAGACAACTCATGTTTCAGTCATTGTGAGATCCGCACCTACTCCATCCAATTATACCGCCTCTCAAACAACAGGGAGATCAAAAGCGCACTTTTGGTCTTGGATAATGAGGGCAGATTTGTAAAAATGGAATTAAAACCAGAGCACATCAACCAGGCTGCATTGAGAAGCTGACTTCTCCATCAAAACTTAATAAGCAGCAAGAAGATCTTTTTTTTACAGGCAGCTAGACTGCAGCATCTACTGTATAGTCACCATTTAAGTGATTACATGGATTAGGCTGTAAACTTGCTAGAACAGAACTCCAATCCCAGTTGTTCAATAATCTTTATTTAAAAAAAAAAAAAAATTCAGTACATCTCGGTCATACAAGCTCATTAATTTCTTCACGTTCACTCAGTTTAAAAACAATGCAAGCACAGAAAAATACCAAGTGTTCCCCCAGAAATCCAGCGTGCCCCTAACTTTCTGTAGTGAGCTACCAAACTGAAAGGGGGGATATGATCTCCATGTATAATACATAAGGGGGGATATGATCACCGTGTATAATACATAAGGGGGGGATATGATATGATCACCATGTATGATACATAAGGGGGGATATGATCACCATGTATAAATACAGGGGGGGATATGATCACCGTGTATAATACATAAGGGGGGGATATGATATGATCACCGTGTATAATACATAAGGGGGGATATGATCTCCATGTATAATACATAAGGGGGGATATGATCTCCATGTATAATACATAAGGGGGGATATGATCTCCCGTGTATAATACATTAAGGGGGATATGATATGATATAATACATAAGGGGGGATATGATCACCGTGTATAATACATAAGGGGGGATATGATCTCCATGTATAATACATAAGGGGGATATGATCACATGTATAATACATAAGGGGGGATATGATCACCATGTTGTATAATACATAAGGGGGGATATGATCTCCGTGTATAATACATAAGTGGGGGGGATATGATCACCATGTATAATACATAAGGGGGGGATTATGATCACCATGTATAATACATAAGGGGGGATATGATCTCCATGTATAATACATAAGGGGGGATATGATCTCCGTGTATAATACATAAGGGGGGGATATGATCACCGTGTAGTAATACATAAGGGGGGATATGATCACCGTTGTATAATACATAAGGGGGGATATGATCACCATGTATAATACATAATGGGGGGGATATGATCTCCATGTTAATATCATAAGCGGGGGATATGATCACCGTGTATAATACATAAGGGGGGATATGATCACCGTTGTATAATACAATAAGGGGGATTATGATCTCCATGTATATCTACATAAGGGGGGGATATGATCTCCATGTATAATACATAGGGGGGGATATGATCTCCGTGTATAATACATAAGGGTGGGATATGATCACCGTGTATATATAAATAATGGGGGGATATGATCTCCATGTGTATAATACACATACGGGGGGGATATGATTCACAGTGGTATAATACTATAAGGGGGGGATATGATCTCCCATGTATAATACATAAGGGGGGATATGATCTCCATGTATAATACATAAGGGGGGATATGATCATCCAGTGTATAATACATAAGGGGGATTATGATCTCCATGTATAATAACTGTAAAGGGGGATATGGACGCTCCATGTTATAATACATAAGGGGGGGATATGACCTCATTTTATAATACATAAGGGTGGGGATATGATCAACCATGTATAATACATAAGGGGGGATATGATCTCCATGTATAATACATAAGGGGGGATATTGATCTACATGTATAATACATAAGGGGGGGATTATGATCTCCTATGTATAATACATAAGGGGGGTTAATGATCACCATGTATAATACATAAGGGGGGGGGTATGATCACCATGTATAATACATAAGGGGGCATATGGATCTCCATGTATAAAAAGTAAAGGGGCGCGCGATAAGATCTCCATGAAAATTAATACATAAGGGGGGATATGAATCTCCATGTAATAATACATAAGGGTGGGGGATATGATTCCATGTAACATACATAAGGGGGGATATGATCTCCATGTATAATAATAAGGGGAGATATGTCTCCATGTATTTACATAAGGGGGGATATGACTCCCTGTATTAATACATAGGGGGGATTTGCTCTCCATGTATATACAATAAGGGGGGATTTGATCTTCATGTATATATACATAAGGGGGGATATGATCTCCATGTAAGGGTCCTTAGTCAACTTCAGACTATCAATTCACAAAACAACCTGCTTCTGGACTTCAGCAAACTAAATCAGTTATACTATGGGCATCGAAAAATTGAACAAAATGACCTTCACCCTTTAAGACTTTTGGAGCACTTTTCCTTTAATGCCAGAGGTCTTTATTTATTCAGTTTTTCAATGTCTGTAGTAGAATTGATTTAGTCCATGGAAGTCCAAAACCAGATTGTTTTGCTATTTAAAAGTTAGAGGATGAGGGACTCTGGGCAGTTTGGTGGAGGTAGAGTGGCCATGTTGGCATTTAAGAAGCTCAAAGTAATATTTAGTATATAAACCAAAGCAAAACAGCCTGACTCTTGACTCTTAGACACCTGAGAGAGTTGTAGCTTGAAGCTTGAATGTCCAAAACGCTTGAGGATAAAAAAATCAATTATTCTCAATGGAGATGGTTTACATCTCCACTCCAAATCACCTGAAGCCAAACACCTGAAGCTCAAACAAGTTTTGGAGCTCAAATTGAGCAGATTTTTGGGTTTGTTGCACATTTTTATCCCCATAGAAATCAATGGAAGCACACATTTTCGTTCAATTTTGTGTTCAAATGATAAAAAAAAAAAAAAAAAAAAAAACAATATATGAATAAATAATTGAAAACTAAATACACAAGTAAATAAATAAAAACATAATAAATAAATAAGAAATAAGTAAACTAAATTAATAATATGTAATAATAAATACATAATTATATTCTTCTTCTTCTTTCTTCTTCTTCTTTCTTCTTTCTTCTTCTTCCTCTTCTTCTTCTTTTTCCTCCTTCCTTCTTCCTCTTCCTTCCTTCCTTCATCTTCCTCTTCTTCCTTCTTCTTCCTTCTTCTACTTCTTCTTCTTTCTTCTTCCTATTTCTTCATATTCTTTCTTCTTCTTTTTTCCTCTTTCTTCTTCTTCTTTCTTCTTCTTCCTTCTTCTTCTTCTTTCTTCTTCTTCTTCTTCTTTCTTCTTCTTAGTTCTTCTTCTTTCTTCTTCTTAGTTCTTCTTCTTTCTTCTTCTTTCTTCTTCTTCTTCATTCTTCTTTTTAGTTCTTCTTTCTTCTCTTCTCTTCTGATTCTTTGTTCTTCCACTTCTCCGTCTTCTTCTTCTTCCTTCTTCTTCTTCCTCCTTCTTTTTCTTCTTCTTCTTCTCTCCTTCTCCTTCTTCTACTTCCTTCTTCTTCTTATTCCTTCTTTTCTTCCTTCTTCTTCTTTTGTTTTTCTTCTTCTTCAATAATAGGAAGTCAATAAATAAAAACACCTTAAAAACTCTCTGTATGAAAATGCGCACAAATCGCAAAAAGAAAAAAATGTGTGGAAAACAACAGTCAAGTGTGAATGCAGGCTTGGGGTACTTTTCGTGATCGGATTTTCTACAGACGGTGGGGTCTCAACAATGCAGAGATCGGTTGATGCGATCTCAGGTCATCATTCATCATACTGTAGCCGTGAAATACAGCGCTCTTCCTACAAAGACCACTCCCCATGTTAAACAATAATCCACTCCTGTCTCAAATACTCCATAAATAACATCAAGGTGCCTAAACAATGAGCGGGTGACGTGTGCAATTAAGAATACATTAGTGTTCATAAATTATATCAAAGGCCATTAAATTCTATGACTGTTCTCAGGTGAAAACAAATCCGAGTCACATAAAAGATCCAATATTCACGGAACAGTGCGCCCTGTCCAAAAAGGTGTTGCCAGCAGCGTAAGACCTTTTTATGTGTCCATCACTCCCGAAAATCCCTCACATGGAAATAGACTCAACAATTTTTATTAACCTTCGATGTACAAAAAGCCGATCAATTACTGCTCATTGGAACTATCAATCCAATTTGTCCTCCTTAGCTAAGAGTGGGGATTTAGCCGTGTCTGAGTCCGTTATTGCTCCCCCCCCATGGCTTACTGTCCTTGTGGCCTGGTTCTTATGTGGGGGGGGGGCAGATGGGGGGGTGTCAGTGGGGCGATATGGAAGGGGGGAGTTTGTAGAGTGTTAGTGCGTATGCTGCCTGTTTTTTCCCTTTTTTTCTTTTCTCTCCTTCCCCTCCCTTCTTTTCTTTGTGGCAATCCTTGCAATGTTTTTTATCTCATAAGGTAATTGCACAGAGATTTTTTCAAGCACAATCTTTTTATAGGAAAAAAATACACTTTAACTGAATTTTATTGCAAAAAAAACACAATATATATTTTTTGGTAAAATACTTACCCTTCTTGTTACCTGGTTTTCATGTGGGGGGGGGATGCACACTCCCAGCACATTTACAAGCGTCTCATGGGCCCAAGGAGTTACACGTCCCCATAGGTGATTCTTTAAAATTTTTTACAAGTTGCCAGTGTATAATACATAAGGGGGGATATGATCTCCATGTATAATACATAAGGGGGGATATGATCTCCATGTATAATACATAAGGGGGGATATGATCTCCATGTATAATACATAAGGGGGGATATGATCTCCATGTATAATACATAAGGGGGGATATGATCTCCATGTATAATACATAAGGGGGGATATGATCTCCATGTATAATACATAAGGGGGATATGATCTCCATGTATAATACATAAGGGGGGATATGATCTCCATGTATAATACATAAGGGGGATATGATCTCCATGTATAATACATAAGGGGGGATATGATCACCATGTATAATACATAAGGGGGGATATGATCTCCATGTATAATACATAAGGGGGGATATGATCACCATGTATAATACATAAGGGGGGATATGATCTCCATGTATAATACATAAGGGGGGATATGATCATCATGTATAATACATAAGGGGGGATATGATCTCCATGTATAATACATAAGGGGATGTGATCATCATGTATAATATATCTCCATGTATAATATAAAGGGGGGTGTGATCTCCATGTATAATACATAAGGGGGGATATGATCTCCATGTATAATACATAAGGGGGGATATGATCTCCATGTATAATACATAAGGGGGGATATGATCTCCATGTATAATACATAAAGGGGGGATATGATCTCCATGTATAATACATAAGGGGGGATATGATCTCCATGTATAATACATAAGGGGGGATATGATCTCCATGTATAATACATAAGGGGGATATGATCTCCATGTATAATACATAAGGGGGATATGATCTCCATGTATAATACATAAGGGGGGATATGATCTCCATGTATAATACATAAGGGGGGATATGATCTCCATGTATAATATACATAAGGGGGGATATGATCTCCATGTATAATACATAAGGGGGATATGATCTCCATGTATAATACAGGGGGGATATGATCTCCATGTATAATACATAATGAGGGATATGATCTCCATGTATAATTACATAAGGGGGATATGATCTCCATGTATAATACATAAGGGGGGATATGATCTCCATGTATAATACATAAGGGGGGATATGATCTCCATGTATAATACATAATGAGGGATATGATCTCCATGTATATATTACATAATGGGGATATGATCTCCATGTATAATACATAAGGGGGATATGATCTCCATGTATAATACATAAGGGGGATGATCTCCATGTATAATACATAATGAGGGATATGATCTCCATGTATATTACATAAGGGGGATATGATCACCATGTATAATACATAAGGGAGGATATGCCTTCCTCTGGATCAACTGCGGGAGTAGGATTATAACTTTTTTTTTTTAATGGTTGAACTGGATGGACTTTTGTCTTTTTTCAGCCAAACTAACTATGTATACTTAACTGCCAGATCTTGCACTCCCATGACCAGGCTATATTTGATTGGCTTTCTGTACATATTGTTGGTAAGACGTTTGTCCTCAAGTTTGCAGTTCCTTGGACATCTCATATACCCCATTCATGTTGTTAACCCCATAAATAAAAACAACTAAAAACTAGCTTGAGGACTATTTGCTGACTCTGTATGTGTGGAAAAATGCGTGTTACCTAGCCATGCAGAATTTAGCAGGACCCAAACAAATGTATATTGCAGGATAGAACAGGGGAACTTATAGGTGGTACCACCTAAGGCCCCATGCATACAGGGCAAACCACCTCTTCTGAACTCCTATCTCCTGGCAGGTGAAAAGCAGCATCAAAAATGCTGTTTTTGAATATACGTTCAGCGTGCCAAATGCTTGGGCCTTCATTAATTTCATTGGCCAGAACATTAGTGCATTCTGGCCATTGAAATGAATCTGACCGTTCAAATGCTTTACCGTTCAAATGCTTTATATGCCTAACGTTAATGTGCGTTTAGACATTTTTTTTAGCAGCATAATGCTCCCCCTTGACTCTAAGCACCCCTAAAAGCCTATGTGTGCATGGGGACATAAGGGAAGATGGGGGAGTGTTTAGAGGCAGAAAGTAAGTGAAATGTCCTTACCCCCTTCCAGTCCGGACACTTTCCCCCCTTCCAATCTGGACACTTTCACCCCCTTCCAGTCCAGACACTTTTACCCCCTTCCAGTCCGGACACTTTCCCCCCTTCCAGTCCGGACACTTTCCCCCCCCTTCCAGTCCAGACACTTTTACCCCCTTCCAGTCCGGACACTTTCCCCCCCCTTTCAAGTCCGGACACTTTCCCCCCTTCCAATCTGGACACTTTCACCCCCTTCCAGTCCAGACACTTTTACCCCCTTCCAGTCCAGACACTTTCACCCCCTTCCAGTCCAGACACTTTTACCCCCTTCCGGTCCGGACACTTTCACCCCCTTCCTGTCCAGGCCAATTTTCAGCTTTCAGCGCTATCACACTTTGAATGACAATTGCGCGGTCATGCAACACTGTACCCATATGAATTTTTTTGCATTTTTTGGAGACAAATAAAACTTTATTTTGGTGGTATTTATTCACCGCTGGGATTTTTATTGTTTTTGCTATATAAATGAAAAAAGTCCAAAAAAATTTTTAAAAAAGTGCTTTTCTTATAACATTTTGCAAATAAATAATCTTTCATCATAAATCTTGGCCAAAATTTATTTGGTTATTTTTTTAAGAAAAAAAAATAACCCAAATTAGTTTATAACCAAAAATTATAATTTTTCAAAATTTGTTACACTTTTTTTAATTTTCTTTATATTATTATTTATGTTTTTTTTTACATACTGTCACCCTAGCAGTACAGTGTCACCATAGTGACACTGTACTACTTGTGGGGGGTGATGAAGATTTTTTTTTTTTTTTTTTACACCAAATTATAGGCTGTAAAAGCAATCATTTCTCTTTCTCTCTGGCTGCATTCCTGCAGCCGTTGAGAAATACTGTGTGAGCTGTGATTGGTCACAGCTTGTCACAAGGTACAAGGCTGTTGTGAATAGTCCTTTACCATGTGATCTCAGTGATCATTCACAGATTTCACACGTAGTAAGCAATGACGTCAGAAGTGACATCTTGCTTACTACTATTCATGTGATCACTGATTGGCCAATCAGTGATCACATGATCGGGACATCACACCGATCGGTGTTTCGCTATGTCCTCTGGACACAGTGGGCGCTGGATCGCGGTGTCGCGCGCTCCCAGGGTGCGTGCACAGCTTGAAAATGCTGGAACCGTTTATGAACGGCAACCTGACCCTGCACTGCTCCTGTCCAGCCGTTTATGTATATGGGCCAGACGGGAAGTGGTTAAAGTGGCGTTTTTGACGCCAAGTGTACATGAGGCCCCGGGGCGGACTGACAACTCATGGGGCCCCCAGGTTATAGGGGATCATGGGGCCTCTGTGTCCTCACCAACACCCAAAAATGCCTATGAAAAAGCCAATGAAAGCTACCAGGGGCATCTCATGGGGCCCCCTACTGACTCCGGGCCCTCGGGCAGTACCCGAGCGTTCCAATGGTCAGTCCGCCCCTGATGAGGCCTAAAGGTGAGAGGACGCAGAACCAGGAGCAGAGATCCTTGAACGATAAAGAAAGCGTTAAATCTTCAGGATCTGAAACCAACGTCTCGGTGAACATTTCTCCTGAGATTTTAAGAAACAAAAATGCCTAACGAACAATAGAAAAGATTAAGTAACCTCATTTCCAATTGTGATAAATAATGACAACAACAGCTGACATCTCTATTATTGTCTCTGCTCAGAATAATGCCTAGTGTGGCTTTTGAAGGCTGATATGTAATTCGGGTCACCGTGCTTTGGCAGGCACGTAGCACAATTAATTATTCTCATGTAGCATATCACTCGATGAAACGTGAGCTTGCAATTAATGGTTCAGAATGTACTAAAGAATTTGACTGAAAAAAAAAAATGCAACAATAATGTTGTAATATAACCCAAATAAAGGCAGGCAGGGGGTAAAGGACGAATCACCAGCAGGGGCGGACTGACCATTTGGAAACTCGGGCACTGCCCGAGGGCCCGGGGTCAGTAGGGGGCCCCATGAGATGCCCCTGGTACCTTTTTCATAGGCTTTTTTTTGAGTTTGGGCAAGGACACAGGGGCCCCATGATCCCCTATTGCCCAGGGGCCCCATGAGTTGTCAGTCCGCCCCTGATCACCAGTATTGCCCGTGGTCTCGGTACCGCTAGACTTTCCTCTATTATTGACCTGTCATGGCTCGCTAACATTTTTTCTGTCATTGTACACTGACTGTGGCATATGAACGCTGACCCGCACAAAAAAAAATCCTGCTGCCCACCAAACACGACCGCTCCCGTTGAGAGTTGCTCATCGAATGACAGCCGCTTCTCCCCCACCAGTAAGTAAAGATAGGGGATGTCATAAAGGTGACCACACCCACTGTGACATCATGGATGGGGGTCTCCAACCGAGGAATCCTGCTGACAGCAGAAGAGATATGGTTGTTAAGGACAAGGCAGCTTCTTGCTCCTTAACAACCAGCTGTTCATGAATTCATTTGGATCATTGGTTATAGTATGCATTCATGTTATTTCAGATGCTTCCAACATAAGAAGGAAACTAATGAATTCCGTTGTTGTGTTATAATTTATTTGGGAGTCAATGAAATTTGTTACTATTGTCATTGGGAGATTTGGGTAACTCCGAATGCTCCTTAACAACCAGTTATTCATGAATTCATTTGTATCGTTGGTTACAGTATGCACTTATGTTATTTCTGATGCTTCAAACATTCTGAGGAAACTAATGAATTCCATTGTTGCCTTATAATTTATTTGGGAGTCGTTGAAATTCGTTACTATTGTCATTGGGAGATTTGGGTAACTCCGAATGCTCCTTAACAACCAGCTATTCGTGAATTCATTTGGATCGTTGGTTACAGTATGCACTTATGTTATTTCAGATGCTTCAAACTTCCGAAGGAAACTAATGAATTCCATTGTTGCGTTATAAATTATTTGGGAGTCGTCAAATTTCGTTACTATTGTCATTGAGAGATTTGGGTACGTCTGAATGCTCCTTAACAACCAGCTATTCATGAATTCATTTGGATCGTTGGTTACAGTATGTACTTATTTTATTTCAGATGCTTCAAACATCCGAAGGAAACTAATGAATTCCGTTGTTTTGTTGTAATTTATTTGGGAGTCGTTGAATTTCGTTACTATTGTCATGGGGAGATTTGGGTACATCTGAATGCTCCTTAATGAAATATGTACAAAAAACACAGTAAATGATGTATGTTTTCTATATATATTTATCTTTTGGTTTAGTCAGGAGCGCAGGAGGTTTCCATCAATATTATCCGAAAGCTCCTTAACAACCAGCTTTTCATGAATTCATTTGGATTGTTGGTTACAGTATGCACACTTATGTTATTTCAGATGCTTCAAACATCCAAAGGAAACAAATGAATTCCGTTGTTGTGTTTTCATTTATTTTGGAGTCGTTGAAATTTGAAAGGTGTTTATAATGTTTTTTTATATGTATACACAAATGTTTTACCTTTATTTATTTTTTACGATGAATGGGTTGTTTTACAAGGTGAGGGTTTAGATATGCTTTAACCACCAAATGGTTTTACCCCCTTCATGACCAGGCCATTTTTTGCTATTCATCACTGCGCAACTAACTGGCAATTGCTCAGTCATACAACAGTGTACCCAAATGCGATTTGTATCATTTTTTTTCACACAAATGGCGCTTTCTTTAGTTTGTATTTGATCACCACTGGATTTTTTTTATTATATATTTGAACAAAGACTGAAAATGTTGAAAAAAAACAATTATCGAGTACCTGGTGCTGGAGGCCAGTGGAGAGAGGGCTTCCCTTGCGGCTAAGTTCCAGACTCCCCTGGAAATGGGACAGAAGGAGTCAGGCCCAAAGTAGCACGGGTTGCCTGCAGGAGTGCGTGTCAGAGGTACACCAAGGAGCACAGCTGATTCACTGGAATGGTTTCTGCAGACAGGTGGTGCCCATGAGGCCTTCAGAGTAGCAGAGGACAGCAAAGTAGTTGGTTCGGAGCTAGGGTCTGATGCCAGGTGGGATTAGAGCAGATGTATGTAGTCAGATGGATAGCCGGGGTCATACACAAAAAAGCAAGTGAGAATATCCGTTAGCTAAGCCAAGGTCAGGTCAAGGGGAAAGCAGGTCCAGGAACAAGCTGAATCAATAACAGCTGATCACACTATCAAGGGAACACGGGACAAAGGTACTGGGGAGCCAGAGGTCAATCAGCAATTTGAGAGAGTAATGGGCTTCCTTATAAAGGCCGTCTGGCGCCAAACTGGGCTAATGCATGCGTAACTGTGCGCATGCGTGTTCCGGCTCACATTCCGTTCCGTGCGCCAATGCACATAGATGTTCACCAGTGCATTGGATAGGACGCTGAGCACGTGCACTCAACTACCTTGGTCATCCATGACAAGGCCTGTTTTGAGTGGAACCTGTCCTGTTAAACCGCTGTATGGTCTTGGCCACCGCGCTGCAGCTCAGTTTCAGGGTCTCGGCAATCTTCTTATAGCCTAGGCCATCTTTATGTAGAGCAACAATTCTTTTTTTCAGACCCTCAGAGAGTTCTTTGCCATGAGGTGCCATGTTGAACTTCCAGTGACCAGTATGAGAGAGTGAGAGCGATAACACCAAATGTAACCCACCCGCTCCCCATTCACACCTGAGACCTTGTAAGACTAACGAGTCACTATGGCCAATGGCTAATTGGGCCCAATTTGGACCTTGTCACTTAGGGGTGGACTCACTTTTGTTGCCAGCGGTTTAGACATTCATTTCTTGTCACATGAAAAAGATATATTTACAAAAATGTGAGGGGTGGACTCACTTCTGGGAGATACTGTATATATATATATATATATATATATATATATATATATATATATATATATATACATATGTATATATATATATACATACATTGTATATACAGTCCTGGGGGAGGGGTGGACCCACTTCTGGGAGATACTATATATATATATATATATATTGTATACAGTCCGGGGGAGGAGTGGACTCACTTCTGGGAGATTTTATATATATATATATATTTATATATATACATTGTATACAGTCCTGGGGAGGGGTGGACTCACTTCTGGGAGATACTGTATAGAAATGAGGACGACTTGTTGGACCACTTCTTTTTTTTTTTGTTTCCTGCTCTCATTCTTCTATGTTTCTATAATTCCAGAATTGTACACCATAATACTGTTACATGTTTTTTTTATGGGGTATGGTTTTTTTTTACAGTAGAAAATAAATAGTAAATACAATTCTATAATATTAACAGCTGTGTACCATTAAAGTGTTAATGAACAAATATTGTCAGTATTTTTTTTCTTTAGTACCTGTCCCCCATGGTAGTCCCCAGTGACATATACTATTTTACAAATTTTACAAAAGCTTGCAAATTGGCCTTAAAAATCCTTTGTCCGGTTAGGCGGCTCCGTTTCATTTGTGTATTTTAGCCGTTTGTCCGGAGTTAAGCTTTAAATCGTGGCAATGCACTTCTTTTGTACCGGCTGTCTGACATATTATGAAAAGTGACCTCTGCAGAAGAGCCCAACACCTCCATCTCTCTTTGTTTGACTTTGGCTTTGCAGAGCACAGGACGATAATTCATTCTCAGTGGAGCCTCTAATTAATGATTTTGCACGTTGCACTCCAGCGGCTTTTAGCCACTATGATAAAATGGATGGCTTTGCCTGCAGGTGGCAGAGTTATGTCTTTAGAATTACCTTTTTACGATATGCTTTTTTTCCCCCCCCCTTAGCTCCATAATTGGCCGCTCGTTGATAAAACAGAACAATGCTTTTTGAACTAAAGAGTTTGCTAATGGGCACTTTTTTTTTTTTTTTGTCTGCCAAGGTTAGTGTCATTCGTGTTCTTCCTTTCACCAAAAATAAAAATTGAGGGCAGGCGAGGTAGGGTGACCCTAAAAAAAAAAAAAACTTTTAAAGGGCTGATTAATTCAGGCTTTTAACTACTCAAATGATAATTTAATATTCTGCTCAATTGTTTCCTTTCAAAGGCCGAAACGACAGCTTTAGCTGCTAATTCATCTTCATTATGAAACATTTGGACAGCTAAGACAAAAAGTTCTTTGTTGGAGTTTTTCAAAGAGCCACACAAATCGTTACACCCGGCTGGATCCTCGGGAAGAAAAAAAAATCTAATTGGTTTGTCATCTCAAACAATGAAGAAGAGCGACAAAGCTATGGCGACGCTGCTTTGCATTGAACGCAAGGTACGCGGTACATTGTATACCGTATATTCTGAG